TTGCTTTTATTCTTTGCTGGCCGACGTTACTACCTGTCCTTCTAAGCGTTTTACCTGGGTGTCTAACATACAACGATTGTAAGTTTGAACTTATCTTTTAGTACACAGTCCTCCTACATTCTCTATTCAGTTGACGTCATAAATAACCTTCCAGCCCAGCGAATTAAGGATCAGTCCTTTCCTCCTCTCTTACTTCCCAAGTTCTCAAATCGTGACAGGTTTAGACCCACTCCAGCTTCTGAATCATTCCTGGCAAAGACAATAAGTACTTCTCCCAGTGCCTAAACTAAAGTTAAACATTAATTAGTCTTCCTCCCAGATCTTGAAGAAACAGCAGAATCCCCATTGTTCATCACGGGCTCTATGCTGTTTCTTCTGTCTGGAGGCAGGATAGTGATGGAGAAGAACACAGGCTTTGAAATAATAAAAACCTAAGTTTGATTCAGTTTTGCTTCTTAATAGTTGTATGAGATTAAGTAAGTTACATAGTTTCTCTTATTTCCTCATTTGAAAAAGGGAGAAATGAAGTCTATCCTGTAGAGTTGTTAAGCTTAAGTGATTTATTTTATATAAATCTTTTAGCAAGGTGCCTACCACAAAAATGTCAACTGCTATTATTTCTGTTTTGCCATTCATATTGCAATAATGTATCATCAGTACTCTCAGATTTTAACTGTAATGCTACAAGAGCTGATAACTGTGCCTGGAAATATACCAGACACAAGATCAATTAAATTCCCTTCCATCTGTACCACTGATTTCGTTGCCACCTGACTCCTCAAAGACAGTATGGTCTTGGTTATTCCTTCTCTTTCTTGTATCGTTATTCTTTTCCTTTTTTTTTTTTTTGAGGTAAAATCCACATAAGAAAATTAACCATTTTAAAGTGAACAGTTCAGTGACATTTAATGCATTCACAGTGCTGTGCGACCACCACCTCTCTCTAGTGCCCAAACATTTTCATCACCTCAACATAAAATTCCATATCCATTAAGCTGTGAATCTCATTCCACCTTCCCTCCAGCCCTGTACAACTACCAATTTTCTTTGTTTCTATAAATTCACCTATTCCGGGTATTTCATATAAATGAAATCATACAATATGGGACCTTTTGTGTCTGGCTTCTTTTACTCAGCATAATGTTTTCAAGGTTCATCCACATTGGAGCATATATCGTTTCTTTTGATGGCTGAATAGTCTATTGTATATATATACCACAATTCTTTATCCATTCATCAGTTGATGGACATCTGAGTTGTTTCCATTTTTTGGCTATTGTGAATAGTGCTGCTATGAACATTCATTACAAATGTCCATTTGACTACTTGTTTTCAGTTATTTTGGGTATTTACTTAGTAGAATTATTGGTTAATATGGTAATCCTGTGTTTAACTTTTTAAGATACTAAACTGTTTTTCACAGCTGCTGACCCAGTTTCTCCCCAGCCATGTATGAGGGTTGTGATTTCTCCAACACTTATTATCTTTTTTATTACAGGCACCTTAGTGGATATGAAGTTGTATTGCACTGTGGTTTTGACTTTCATTTCCTTAATGACTAATGATGTTGAGTATCTTTTCATATGCTTGTTGGTTATTTGTATATATTCTTTGGAGAAATGTCTACGCAAGTCCTATGCCCATTTTTAAACTGGGTTGTCTTTTTGCTGGTGATGATTATGGGTTTTTAAAATATTCTAGATACTAGACCTAGTATTAGATGTATGCTTTGCAAATATTTTCTCCCATTCCATAGTTGTCTTTTCACTTTCTTGATAATATCCTTTGATGCACAAAAACTTTAAAGTTTGATGCTTTCAGTGTCATACCTGAGAACCATCTTCAAATCTAAGGTCATAAAAATTTAATCTCATGTTTTCCTTGAAGAGTTTTATGGTTTTAGCTCTTATATTTAGGTAATTGATCCATTTTGAATTAATTTTTTTTATATCGTGTGAGGTAGGGGTCCAATTTCATTCTGCATATATTTGCAAATGTCCCGACAGTATTGTAGAGAGACTGAATGGTCTTGGCACTCTTGTTGAAAATCAGCTGGCCATGGTGGTATGGGATGAGTTTATTTCTGGCCTTTCAATTCTATTCCATTGGTCAATATGTTTATTCTTATGACGGTATCACACAGTTTTATTCCTGTAGCTTTGTAGAAAGTTTTGATATCAGAAATGTGAGTCCTCCAACTTTTTTTTTTTCCCGATACTGTTTTGTATATTCAGGGTCTCTTGAAATTCCATATGAATTAAAGAATGAGCTCTTCCATTTCTGCAAATAAAGCTGTTGGAATTTTGATATGGATTACATTGAATCTATAGATCAATTTGGGTAGTATCACCATCTTAATAATATTAAATCTTCCAATCCATGAACATGAGATTTTTCCCCATTTATTTAGGTATTCTTTAATTTCTTTCAGCAATGTTTTACAGTTTTTGACATATAAGGCTTTCATCTTTTATGCAGGTTAAATTTATTCCTAGACATTCTATTATTTTGGATGCTATTATAAATGGAATTTGGTTATTCCTTCTCTTTATAGTTTTATTTTCCTTTTCAGATTGTTCATTGCTGGTATGTAGAAGCAAAACTCATTGTTGTGTGTTGATCTTGTACCCTGCAACTTTGCTGAATTTATTAGTTACTATATATTTGGTGAATTCTTTGTACAGGATATATAGGATCATATTGTCTGCAAATAGATATAGTTTTATTTCTTCCTTTCCAGTTTAGGTAACTTTTATTTTTTTTACCTAGTTGCTTTCGCTAGAACTTTTGGCTAATATAATGTTGAATAGCAACATGGTAAAAGTGGGCATCTCTGTCTTATTCCTGATCTTAGGGGATGCTATAGGCTGAATTGTGTCTCCCCAAAATTCCTATGTTGAAATTTTAAGCCCCAGCACCTCAGAATGTGACCATATGTATTTGGAGATAAAGTCTGTAAAGAAGTGATTAAGTTAAAATGAAGGCATTGTGGAGGGTCCTAACCCACTCTTGTAATAAGAAAAATCATATATTAATGATGCCATTTCTATTGGGATAAAATAGGTATTTTTTCACAATATATTTTTAGTTTCCAAATTTTATTTTTAAAGTTTTTCACTCTTCATGGCACTAATAATAAAGTTCTCTACCCTTTTCTACCCCACTGTAAATTCCTAGTATGTTTTGTTTTTAGTTCTACAATCTTTAATATATAAAATTTTGTTGATTTATCGAAATTGTAGAGTCAGTTGAGTTAAAGAAAATAAAGTAGCATATTGGAAAAAGATCTGGTATCATAAAGACCTGGATCTAAAGCTTAGCTTCACCACTCACTAGCTCTGTGTCCTTGGGCAAATCAGTCTCACTGAGTTTCAATATCCTTAAATTTTTAAGGGGATAATAATACTTTACCTCAAAGAACTGTTGTGAAGCTTAGGAGGTAATATGTAAGGTTCAAAATATGACTTCTGGCACACAGTATTTAATAGCTATAAAATTGTTAGTGATCATAAAATCTCATTTCACTATCCCCTTAAATGATGGGCTGATACTTTGAGCATTTAACAAACATAAATACATACAGTAAGTACAGTATATTACCCATACAAGGTAAGTCTTGGGAAAAGCACATTACCAGTAAGTTAACTGATTAAAATGACCTCTTTCAAAAGTTTAACATATTGTTGAAGGTGGTGCTGTCTTTTCTCCTCTTTTCAGGTAAAGGACTTACCTTCAGACACACTTCTCCAACAGCATGATGATTTGGATTTGGCTGTGGATAGTTGTTATAGTGGAGATACGGTAGTTATTTTTCCAGGAGAATATCAAGCTGTAAATCTTGCTTTATTGACTGATGACATCATTATAAAGGGTTAGCTAGGCATCATTTGCAATCTTTTTATAGCAATGTGTACTGGCCAAAATGTATGTTATAAACATGGTTAATCAAATTATTAGAAATTAGAACAGAGTTTGTTTCACAAAAATCTTTTATGTGCCTTTTACAAGTAAGATTTTCTCACTTTAAAAAGAAAATATATTTTCTCACTAGTTTATGAGTATATTATCTGTACAAGTGACCTCGTTTAGACAGACTGCACCAGAGCAAATCAATGAGACTACTTCTTCTCCATGATAATATAGATTTTAAATAATCAAAACCAGAAAGGAAAACGAAACGTTCATAATATTTTCTGAGTGCCATCTATATTTTTACCCAAACAACTTTGTTTTCATCTATCTCCATTGTACTTCATATCACTTTAGTGTGAAAATCCAAATATAAGGTAATATTAAACTATATCCAGCATTTTCTCAAAAAGGTTGCGCACTTACTAAAATAGTAGAAAAGCAGAGTTAACTAACTTTTATTTAGGTTTAGGTTATGAACATATTTAGTATCTTTAATTCTGCCTTTTTACATTAAAGTATGAGCATTCCCACTGTCTAGCCCCAAAAATGAACAGGTGACTTAAATTTTGCCTATCAATGCAAAAACTGAATAAAATTTTCACTAGATTTTGATGATTGTAATCGGTAATATTTTGTTGAACTATATAGATAAGGGTCATATTTGTAATTTAAAAAATCTGTAGCTTTCTTGAAGATCCAGCCCCTTATTTTTAGATTTATGTTAAATTTAGATGATTGCTTTGACTACTCTAGAGCAAAGCATAGATATGATTACATTAATCTTGTAGCTTAATTCAAGAGTCTCTGTCAGTCATTTTTTAGTATGGTAATTTATGGTTTTGAAACTAGGATATGGTAAAATACTTTTTGTATCCTAGACATTTTGTAGATAACTGCTGATTATATAATTTAGAGAAATATGCAGTGGAATGAGTACATTGAATAAGTGCCATAAGTATATTTAGATTGATTATAAATCCAGCCTTCCATCATGGCATCAAATAAGGACACAAGATTACATTATAGTTAAGTATCCAATTAGTTAACAACTGAGTATTTATATATATCACTTATTAAAAATATGTGAAAAGAAAAACTTAGTAATAGCAAGTATTATTGAATGACTAAAGGGCTTTCAAGTTTGGGATTACTGATTTAATTATGTATCTTTGTCCCTATGAATCAGGAGTTGGAAAGAGAGAAGAAATCATGATTACTTCTGAACCTTCTCATGACAGTTTTGTGGTGTCCAAAGCCGATAATGTGAAACTAATGAATCTATCTTTGATACAACAAGGGACCGTTGATGGTATTGTGGTGGTGGAGTCTGGTCATATGACTCTAGAAAACTGTATATTAAAATGTGAAGGAACGGGAGTGTGTGTACTTACAGGGGCTGCTCTGACAGTTACAGACAGTGAAATAACTGGTGCCCAGGTATTTCATTTTAAAAACTATGGCTTTATATGACTATAGATAACTCTGGGTGATCTTAATATGTAAACAAAGGATAATAATTACTTCATCTTTGAATTATAAGCTTAGAAACTAATAAAAATAAACCAAATGAAGACAGATACAAGAGTGTCTTGGCACACTTAGGAAAAGTGAACTGCCTAAGTCCAAAATAAGGAATTATTAGCTTTAAGTGTGATTTTTTTAAAAAAACCTAGGAATCAGTAGCTATAAAATAGATCAAGTCAGTTACCTGACGATTTATTTAAAAATAAATTGTATTTCTAAGTTATCAGACATTGCTGTAACGTATTGTGATTAGTTCTGACAAGAGCTTATGTCTTCACATAACAATCACGAAGACCATTAAAGGACTGGAAAATTGAATGAGAATAAAGATTAAAGGACGCAGAAAAATAAATTCAATAAAAACTTTTTATTGAATGATTTTTTTTCTTCTTTTTCACTAAAGTGAGTAAATAGACTTTAAAGCATTATGAGGGATTAAGAATATTTACAAAATAAAGTTTGACAACTGAAAAGAATTGCTTAAAGAAATTTTTGACTTCTTTCTAGAGACTTCATTTGGGTGAGGGAGCAATATAATGGACTATATATGACTTTAACCTCCTGAGGCCTAAGAGTCTCTTAGTTTTCGGCATTTTTAAAGCATCTCTAAAATAAATGGTTGCGTACATTATAATGTATTTTCACATAACTTAGTGTGTTTAGATTGATGATAGAGAATTATAATTTTCAAATTTAAAGATAATTCTGGAGAGGTTATGATTGTGTTTTATAGATTGTTTATTTGCTTTTAATTCACAGGGTGCTGGTGTTGAACTCTATCCTGGAAGCATAGCCATTTTGGAAAGGAATGAAATTCATCACTGTAATAACCTCAGAACAAGTGACAGTTCAAAAAGTACCTTAGGTGGAGTCAATATGAAGGTATTCCTAAATTTCTTAATATAGAAATAAGAATTATAAATAGAAAGATACTAAAATATCAGGTATAGTCTTAAGATTTAGTTTAAATATCATTAATTTAGAAAAGAATAGTGCGAATAATTAAAATATGGTTTATAGACAGGTGATAGGAAAAAAGTTTAGTCTTGTGATTTCAATGTGAATTCTTAGCAAATAACTTTGAATATAAGAAAGTAAGTCTGCTCTTATAAAAATGTTTTAGATTTTTCATTGACCAGATGTGTAATACATTTTGGATAGTAAATAAAATTAAGAGAATAATATATTTAGAAATAGTCTTACTTTCAAACTTTGTAAAATAAAGTAACCAATTAAAACATTAATAACAATAATTTATAAATGAAATGCCTTCCTATTCTTTTCTACTCCTATAAATTCTACCTTTCTAGGTCCCTCTCTAGACTTGTGTAATGTCAATAAGTAATTGAAATTATTTTTGTGTTTATCATTGTCATCTGAGATTATCCATTTTCATATTTATCTTGTTTATTAAAATTCAGCTTCATGGAATATTGCTGTAACCTCATCATGAATTGCTTATCCTTATCAATAACTGATAAAAATAAGTTGAAAGCTTCATTTAATGTTTCCACATTAAACATTTTGGTAGGTAATATTATATTAATCTAGGGTGAGGAAAATAACATTTGTCCAAAACCGAGATTTACTTATTTTAAAGAAATGTTTTAACCCAAGAATAAGTGTTAGAGTTTATATGTTCATTAGTTCATATTTTATTTTTATAGAAATTACTGAAAAACTAACTCCTTGAATACTTTAACAGGTTCTTCCGGCACCCAAATTGAAAATGACTAATAATCATATTTACAACAACAACGGCTATGGAGTTAGCATTCTTCAACCAACAGAACAATTTTTTATTGTAGCAGAAGCCCTCAACAAAGGGGCTGCTTCAGGAGATAAAAAAGATGAAAATATGCTCTCCAAAGTAATGCAAAATCTGAATCTGGAAATGAATAATAATAAAATAGAAGCAAACTTAAAGGGGGATATCAGAATAGTCACAAGTTAAAGCATCTGGATTTGTGTTATTAAAGTTTTATATTTCACGTATTTAATAAATATCATCTCCCACAGAAATGGCAGTTTTAATTAAGTATATTTCAGATAGATGTTTAATAAACGTCAGTGGTAGTTTTAATGGTAGTTTAAAAATATTTAAACATTTTAATGCTTTTACATTGAATGACTGATTTTAAGATTTTTAAAAATAAAAGTTTGAGATAAAATTCACGAACCATAAAATTCACCCTTTTAGTGTATATAATTGAGTGACATTAAGTATATTTTTAGTATATGGTACCACCATCACTATTTAATTACAAAAACAAATGTGGTTTTAAAAATCGTTTTTAATATTTGTAGTCCAATAAGAAGCATCAGGTGTTCTATGTAGAGAATAGAAAAAAATTAAGTTTATAGCTAATTCCTGAGTCATTCCCATTTATAAGTGCTAGCAACCGGAATAAGGTAAGATAGCACTGTATGTAACACAAGATCAGGTTCAACTGCAGGAAACAAGGAAATTCAAAATAAGACAGGTGAACAATATAGAATGTATTTGTCCCTCATATTCGAGAAGTCCAGGGGTACTCAATATAGGGCTAGCAGATGTTCCAAATGGTAGGTAGGTGTTCCATGCTAGAAATTCAGGTTTCTTCTATCTTGTTTGGTTTACATTCAAAATGACCACATGGTCCAACATAGCAATCATTGCTCAAGCCAGTATGTCTAAATTCCAGGCAAGCATACAGGGTAGGAGCTGTCTAAAAAGGTTACACACATTATTTCTAGTCACATGGCTATACCTAATTGCAAATGAAAGTAGGAAATATAATCTTTAAATTGAATGGCCAAGTGTCCTCTAAAATAGGGGTTCATTTCTGAGAAACCAGTGGTCTTTTCTACAAAGTGAAACTTATATTGACTTTAGGATATAAAAGGCTCAAACACTTAAGCTCTTCCTTAGTGTTATCTGTAACCTAGCAGAGGTGCTGTGTTGCCATGGAGAATCTCTTGAGGCTGAGAGCTGAATAAGGTATAGTCCTTCGGTGTTTCCCTGAAGTTTGTTTTCTTTCTTTTCTTTTTTCTTTTTAAACATAAGGTCTTATTAGCCGAGTGACACAAAAGATCATTCCAAGGATTGTCTATGGAAGCCTTAAGAAGCACAGTCTCTCTATAATGAATTTAATGAACTGTAAGAGTGGGGGTTGTCCTTCCCAGTCCTCTTCCTCCACCTCCCTGTTTCTGGCTTAAGGGGATGGTTTAAGGTGATGGACAAAGATAGGATCTTTTGTGAGCAGAAAGAGCAATAGCCTTGAGTGAACAAACTTCTCACTCATAGTCATCTGCCTCCTTTCTGCCGCTGCCATTAGTTTCCAAACAATTTCTTTTTCCAGGCAGGCCCACTTCTGAATCGTTTTTTCCTATTCTTAAATTCCTAAAGCATACACAAAGCGGTTATAAGATTTTCTAGGAAATCTGACCTTCAATTTACCTCTCTCGACCTTCCCAATCCTACTTTCTCCCACCTAATGACAAATTACCACAAATTTAGAGGCTTAAACAACACTATCTTACAGTTCTGTATTTGAAGTCTGACATGGTCCCGCTGGGTTAAAATCATTGTGTTTGACAGGTCTTTGTTCCTTTCTGGATGGCTAAGGGGAGGATTTGTTTTCTTGCTAATTTGGCTGTTGACTGAACTCAGTTCCTTGCAGTTGTAGGACTGAGATCTGTGTCCCTGATGGCTCTCAGTTGAGGGCTGTTCCCAGCTTCTAGTGACCAACTTGGGTTATGGCCTCGTTCCTCCATCTTCAAAGCCAGCAACAACAGATGGAGTTCCTTTTCTGTTTTGAATTTCTCCTGCCTCCTCTTCAGTCTCATCTCCCCGACCTACTCTTCTGTCTACTTCCACTTTTAAGGACTCACATGATTAGGTTGGACCCACCTGGATAATCCAGGATTCCTCCATCACAAGGTCCTTAACTTGAACCACATCTGCAAGTTCCTTTGTGCCACATAAGATATGTAGTCATAGGTTCTGGGAATTAGGATGTGGACATCCTTGGGGGTTGGGGAGGGGAGGCAGGGTCACACATTATTTTGCCTACCACCTACCTTAACCAATTTAGGGAAGACAAACCCTAATTCTAATCTTCAAATGGGGTTTAAGAAGTTTCTTCCACCAGGACCACCTATCCAAGGTGTGGTTTGTACGCACTTAATAGAGATTCTAATTTATAACCTAAGGGAGAGATGGTTCCATTATTTCTGCTCTATGTGGCTTTCCTACAAGACTATAAATTAAATTTCTTGTATAGGCACTAGGTTATAGTAACCACTACATCCTACATGGTACTGTGCATGGCAAGTAATAACTTAAATAGTTACAGAAGAATGCTACTAATAGGTCTCTGCCTATGCGAAATAATGAAATGAGATTTCTAATCCAGGATGTTTAAGGACGTTTCATCACAGTTGCTATGGATGGAAACATTAAGATTGCAGGGGTGAAGACCACAAATTGATTAGAAGAGTGGCCTTGGTGTGGAATGAAAGGGATGAATTAGAACCCTTTTTTGCCTTTCGTCAGGGACTGGCAGTGGCCTTGCCCGCAGCAGCGAGGGGCCAGTCTCAAGTGAAGAGTGGACTGGAAACCAGTTCATGAAGCAGAAGCAGTGAAAGTGGGAGGCAGCTGCAAAGGACTGAAAGGCACCGGGCAGCACGAGGTAGAGAAGTTGCTGTGACTACAAGAGCAGGGTGGGGCGTGCATGCGTGTCATCTCACAGATGCAACAGTGAGAACCAGCAAGCAATAAAGTTGAAAACTGGTCTAATTTTCCCAAAGCATTAAAGTGAAAAGTACGAAAACTATATACTATACTTTCAATGATTGAATCAAATCAGGTGTTACAGGTTCCAAGAGTCGGTGAACTACCTGAAATTTTAATTTAAAAACTTTGAGTACATGCCTTTGGTGGAAAATCTGTAGCTTTCATATTCTCCAAGAAGCCTCTTTACCCGCCCAAAGCTTAAGACAACTGAACTAGATAATATTTAAGTTTACTTTTACATATTCTTTATTACTGTTCAACTGAAGCCTAAAACAGCCGTTTTTAACAAAATGTGTGTTTTCCACAGAACACGGATTTGTTCTATAGAAAACTCAGGCAACTTTATATCTTACCAATATTTTAATACTAAACACCTTATGCCATTATATATATTTTGGTAATTGATATTTTTTATTATATAGTTCTATAAGAAAGATTAACATTTATTTTATTTGCCAATAACATTTTAAAACCATTTGGCAGGTATCAGTAGAATACTAGGTTAATTTGAAAATGTTTAGGACAATTATTGATGTCAAAAATTTAGATTTTATTTAGATCAGTAGGTTTAACCTAATCCTATTGTCCTTCCTATTATTTTTTAAAGAGCTATAAAACTTCAATCATTTGAATAAATGAAATAACTAAAGTATTAAAAAATAATTACTAAGTATTAATTTCACATTTTTATAAGTTAACATGAAAAATATTATATTGGCTAACCAGTTAAGGTTATGCAGCCAATTCCTTTGTACTCTTTATCTTAAATTTATTTCTAGGTTTGAAAGAAATATACAACTTCAAAGTTTAAAAATTCCTGAAAGATCTGCCATTAAGATTAATCCTAGGCGACCAACTCCTCCCGATTTGCCCGGGACTTACCCAGTTTTAGTACTTCCCGAGTCTCAGGAAATCACAGTCCTGGACAAATTCAGACAGTTGGTCACTCTAATTAGTTTCCAGGAAGTAGATTTTTTTAAAAAGCTAAACGATCACTAAAGTACTGATAAATGCAGGTCACCTCAATCAGTTAACTTTGATTCACTGGTGCAATTTCCGCACCCCCCCCCCATCAGAAACCTTTTATACTACGTGTAAAAGGACAGTGCGCAAGTACCAAAGGTACATACATGCACACACTTTCAGTGCATTTCCTGGCTTCTGGCCAATTCAAATCTAAGCCTTTCAGGTAAATCCAGTGGAATACAGGAAGCTCTTTACCAGTCAAAACTAAAACTCATGTCAGTTCCTGTCCAATTCATAATTCCATTTCTGGTGTTCTTTACTATCCTCCCATCCCAATTCTGCTTATAGAGTTAGAGGGAGAGAAACTGGCAAATGTGTGTTTGGCCACAGCCAATGTCGTCTTTTTTCTAGAAGCTGTACTGACCCTAAGCTGACACAACTGTTGTAGGGTCTGTACTGACCCTAAGCTGACACAACTGTTCACGTTCTGCTGGCCTATTCCATTGGCACAGGTGATGTCCAGAGTTTTTTGTGTAGTTTCACAGCACAAGAAATCCAATCAAACTGTAGCCGCTTGCTCAAGGACACTGTGCCAACATATTCTCTGGACACACAGTGCTCTAAATTCCTGCAACCAGCACATCAGCATCTCTCTGGGCCCAAAGTAAATTTACAATTCCCTTCCATATCATTCTCAGCTCTAAAGAAAGCTGTTGGGTTGTTACTGCTACAACCTTCAAGTTTACAAGTGCACAGCACAGATGCCAAGTATGCAAGCTGCCAATCACAGAACAGGTGCAAAATCAGGTCTTTATCCCTGCTTGAATTTCTAGAGCAGACCCATTCTGTCAGTGCCAACTCTCACTATAGTCCCAAACCCCAATATGCGGTGGGGGAAGGGGTGGTAAGCAGCATCTTTGTGTCTTTCCATATTTTTTCTTTCTAAATTCTCTCCCCCTACTGCATCCAGCCTGTTTTGGAAAAACTTTCCGATAATCTCAAACTGTATTTTCTTTGTTTAGGCAGACTGTAGTGTAGTGGGATGGTTGAGATAGAAAGGAAATGCAATACATTGGTTGATGTCTCCTGGTATTAATTACTCTGCCACACAAGACTCCATGTAGCCTTCTGCTAAGTCTGATCGTTCCTTCAGAGGAACGATTGCTGGATGTTTTGTCATAAATGGATTCTCCAACAATTAGAACTGACTTAAGTTTTATGAAGCATAAAAACTATGAAAGCCAAAACTGGTACTTGATTTCCTCCTCCATGTAAAAGAGAAAATTAAACTATGTATTTTTAAAAAGCTAAAAACACACACACACTCACTCACACTCACTCTCTCTCTCTCTCTCTCTCACACACACACACACACACACAAACTGCCCCAGTACACTGAATAGGCAATGAAGAATCATGATCCCCCAAATAAGGGAAACAATTGAGATGAGCCCTAAGGTCATCCTGACTTTCTGGATGGAGGCACTTTCTAGATCGTGGGTAGAGGGAGAAAGAAGCAAACAGCACAACAGTCTCACTGAATTGAAGCGCGAGACTGGAGTTGGGGAGGATAGCTAAAATTTGTGGCGAAGAGAGGATGGAACTGCATAGAGAAAAAGTTCTAGAAACCTGCACAAGGATCTCCTTAGGTTTTTAGCCGAACACTAAAAGATTTCTGGAACTATGCCCGAGTGCTTCCTTCAAGCTTTAGCGAATGTAATTTGACATCTCTTGTGATCATTTTTATTTTTCATTTCTAGCTGAAACTGTTGGAGGGATGAGTACCAGTCAAGTGGCAGATTACTGAATTTATGCCTTTTATGGGAGTTTTCACATGTGTCAAGGGCAAGAGAAAGCATGGTCCACTGAGATGCCAGAAGTTCAGCAGAGGTGCTGAGTGGAACCGCGTGCAGAATAGGAGTGAGGGGCAGTTTAGCCTTCACACTGAACCACTGGCTTAAGCCAAGAGGGGGCGGTGGCGACGCGAGATCTTTGTGGGAAGTTTACTTGTACAGCGTCAGTGTGCAGAACGGGTTGAATGCAGGCCGGACAGACCTGTTAGGAGGTTGCTGCATCATTGTACATCCAAACTAAGGATCCCCTGAATAGAACACCCACAGCCGCCGTATAAAAATATGACAGTAAGGTGTTTTGGATGTAGAATTCATTAGATGTTATAATACATATGGCTTTGGCAATTAAGTAGCTGAAACTCCTGTGATAAAGCAAGAACAGAGTGTAGGGCACAGGGTGAGTTGAGGGGTTTCCTTCAATTTGGAAGTATGCTGACCCTTGAACACACAGGCTGGACTGCACAGGTCCATCTACATGCAGATTTTTTTCCATAAATATACAGTCAGCCCTGTATATTCCCCAGGTTTCCCATCCTCGGATTCAAACAACCACAGATCGAGAACATATTCCTGGGATGCAGAGGGCCGACTGTATGCATTATTCTATGCCATTCTGTATAAAGGACTTAAGTGTCTTGATAATTTTGGTATCTGCCTTGGCGGGGGCGGGGGTGCGGTACTAGAACCAATTCTCCTGACTACTGAGGGACTGAAGTTTTTGGGGTCAGAAGTTATACATGGATTTTAGACTGCATAGGGTGGGGATTGGCACCCCTAACCCGGTGCTGCTCAGGGTCGACTGTATCGAGTTATTTCAGTGGGGTATCCAAGCATTCAACAGTATTGTATGTCTGGAAGTAGCATTTCTACTGTGACTGTAAGTAACCTGATGCTCAGAAAGGACAGCTCAGCTGGAGACACAGACTTTAGAGTCTGCAGATAGGAGCCATCGGCTTATTGACAGTTAACTGCTGAAGGTGATCTAAAGAACAGAAAGGACAGGAAGAGGATTTTGAAAAGGACACTAAGGCAAAACGTAACTTGCCTGAGATCACCCATGTGTCAGAAAGCAGCTTCAGGTTCTGAGCCCAGTTCTGTCTAATCCAAAGCCTTTTAAATCTCTACTGTACTGTTATTTCTCAACTGAGAAATATGTGAAAATCCAATGGAAATTGTGAAGTGTCATAAATGTATGACTATCTCAACTAAAATAAACTAGCTTACAAATATCCTCTGAAATACATATATGTGATGATAAATATGCTATCCACTTTCATTCTTGGCTTAGGTATAAACTTTATTCAAGAGTTTTGTGGATTGATTTTTAATTGTTTAAACTGGAACCTAACTTATAAAAGAGAATGCTAACCTTAGTCTTAAGATTTTTTAAAGACAAAGCTTGGGAAAAAGCCAAAATGTTCAGCTTTGGGTCAAAAGTCTTATTCAGGTACAGAGTTCCGTGTGAATTGTGTACTGACCAGTATTTGTTACAAGAATAACAATCTCATTCCAAGGCGAATTATTCTAACTACTACAAGATTATCACGTGGTGTACTTCTGAAACAATTTTTCCTCTGATGTTTTAAAACTAATAGATGTAACTGACATTGTAAAATTATTCTAGTGTGCAAGATCTACAATAACTAAATGGTCCATATTCAGTGTAATATTTTATTTCCTATTGTATTAAACTACAGCCAAGAAAATATCAAGTCAATTTTAAAAGCAAATCTTTACTCCTTAAAGAAAAAATACAAACTGTGGTACTTTTATAATAGATCATTATTTTACATAATATAAACAAAATCACTAATGTATCTATATGCTTGGTTTCCTTAAACCACACTGAACCACAGAATGGGTGAAAAATAGGTTTACCGGTCAGCAGCATGTAAACTTGGGAAGATAGGTATCATGCGTTGTTTTCTATGGTCTATGCATAGGCACCGACATAACCAAGCCTTAATAGCCGCCACCTCCTCTTCCTTGAGCAGAGTAGCCGCTCCCATAGCCCCCTCGGCCACCTCCGCGCGGGAATCCCCCAGACCCTCTGTAGCCTCCTCCACTAGACCCTCTGTAGTCTCCTCCCGCGCTGCCTCTATAGCCACCTCGGGAGCCGCCTCTATAGCCTCTGCCACCACCTCTACCATAGCCTCCCCGATAGGAGTTGGAGCCACCACCATAGCCGCTGCCACCGTAGCCTCCACTACTACCATAGCCTCCGCCACCTCCGTAGCCTCCGCTGCCATAGCCTCCACCGCCATAACTAGAACCTCCCCTTCTATATCCACTTCCATTGTCATATCGGGCCATCTTGGGAGGACGTGGACCATCTCCATACCTAAGAAAAGCACAAAGCCACCGCTTTAGCAAAGCATCCTTAATATTTCTCAACTAGTCACAAAATATAAACATTTGTCGTATTTAAAAATGAAATGAATAAAGGGAATGAAGCCAATTACACAAATATAAACTGAAATGAAATAAATCTGCTACTCTAAAATAGACACAGGAGGAGGCATCAACTGTAACCCATCTGTTTTTTTTTAAAAAGTTCTTTCTGGTTCATTCTTAAAGATCTTCACTTTTGGCAGTATGTCCTTACAACTTTAAGACAGTTCTTTCACTCAGCTCAACTACATAGCATTCTAAGAAAGCAATAATATGTTAGAGGTTCCTGGAACTGGCGGTAAATTATTTTATCTTTATCACCAAATATTTTCCTGCATTAACTATGAAATGTTTCTGAAAAATGTCTTTGAGTAATTTATGTCTAAATCTGTTTCATGTGGCAAACAAAGAAAATGAAGAGTAATGAAAAATTGCAGAAATCAAGATGTCTTGCCAACAACTCCAGTTCACCATACCTCAAAACAACTTAATCTTCCTAGGCAGCCTACAGATGGCACTACCAACTCAGCAGCTGTCCAAGTCAGGAATATGGCCAGGGTCTGCTCCTCCCACATAATCCATTGCCAATTCCTGTAGATTCTACTGCATGTCTATCTAATCTATTCGCTTCCCCCATTTCAATTCCCCCTATTACATATTAGGCCACCAGCATATTCGCACATCCTAACTTCGTTCTTATGTTTATCCCATTCTTTCTAGTTTCTGGACTTTTGTCCTTCGCAGAGATGATTCTACGTGTAGCCCCCTTGGATCACCACCTTTCCTGTCAAAAGTTACCTCTCCTCTTTTAAATATCTATGAGAACTGCATTTGTATCTGCTATACATCTTTTTCCAGTTTTGTTTTTGAAGAGTCTCCTTCTCAATAATTCTTCTGTACATCTGATCTGCTAGGAGGACCACAGTATAGGTGACCCTTGAACAACGTGGGGATTAGGGGGTCTGATCTCCCACGCAGTTCAAAATCTGCATATAGCTTCTGACCCTATCCTCCGAACTTCAGTCGTCCCTCACTATCTGTGGAGGACTGGTTCTAGGACCACCCACTCCAGATACCCAAATCTGCAGACGCTCAAGTCTCTTATACGAAATGGTGGAAAACAATGCATACAGTCGGCTCTCTGTATCTGTGGATCCCCAAATGCAGATCAGAAATACTGTTTCTGATCCATAGTTGGTTGAATCCTTGGATACAAAACCCAAGAATATGAAGGGCTATTTATTAAAACAAATCCATGTATAAGTGAACCCAGGTACTTTAAACCCATGTTGTTCAAGGATCAACTGTACAGCAGGATAAATGAGAATATTGTTTCAGGAGCCATCCTGAGTCTGAACCCAGCTCTACCATTCACTAGCTCTATGACCTTGGGTCTTAACTTCTTGAAATAATGATCAATTTACATCTTAGGTCAAATATCAACAAGTTAATATCAGAAAAGCACTTAGCACAGTGCTTAGCACATACTAGGTACTATGTGTTTGATTAATAAATTTAAAATATGAACTCATTTATAATCAAAATGGGAAACCGGAACCCATGAAACATATAGCAGTTCTATATATTAAAATTATAATAGTTTATAACAAGAAAAATTTTAGTTTTTTAAAATTTTAGTTCATATATTAGTATTTTAACACATTTGTGGGGTGTGATTGCGGTGTAACTATGTTCTTAAAAATAGCTGCCATATACTGATGTAAAATGTCATGTCTGCAACCTAATTGCAAATGATTAACCGAAGAGGTAGGTTTGTTGTGTGCTTTCATGTAAACACATAGGAAAGCCAGTGTCACAAAATTCTAGCAGTTAGTGAACCTAAATTAAGAGACTATATGGGTGTTCACTATACTATTATTTTCTGTAGGTATCAATTATTTCCAGATAAAAAGTGTGGGCAAAGAAAACTTAAGGTGAAAAAAAACCTGGAAGCAAATGAAACATTTCAAGAATTAAGAGAAATTTCACACTTCTTTAAGATATCCATGTTTTTTATTTCCCGAAGATAAACTTTGATGCTTTTCATTTGATGAAGCAACAATTTCACCCCTCATCAACCTTTTTTCTTTGGAAAGGGCAGAACAACACTGTGGAAGAGGACTGTCTGGGTTTTGTCACTTTCTTGTCATGTGACCCACCCTGGACTCTATACAGGCATACACCTTCGTTTTATTGCACTTTGCACATATTGCATTTTTTTACACATCAAAGGAAGACCCTTTTCTACCAGCATGAAGATTATGACGAAGCCTATGACGGCATTTCTTAGTAATGAAGTTTTTAACCAAGGTATATACACTGCTTGTGTAGATATAATGCTATCATACACTTAACAGACTACAGAATAGCGTAAACATAACTTTTATATGCACTGCGAAAACAAAAATTCATGTGACTCGCTTTAATGTGGAGGTCTCAAACTGAGCCAACAATATGTTTGATTTGTGTATACTTTTAAGGTGCCTTTCTATCTCTAACGTGCACTAATGTAAGAGATTATTAACACAGAGACAAAAGCAAACGTCCTTATTCTGAGTGTGTCAACCAGAAATAAATTCCACATTCAGTATCTACCTAGAATTTTAACTTAAATAACCGGGCCTCCATGAACTGTGGGAATTTCATGTTGGTATGATTCCCATCCTCCGCTTAGGTCACAGACAAGGTACTGTGGTACTCACCGTGTACTGCCAGTCATAAGGTTGATACCAGCAGCGGACGGCCGAGAGATCTGGCGGATCGTGTTCAGCATACGTTCATTAACGGGGTCCAGCTGGCTGATCATGTCGGGCTGTTGGGTTACTTCAACAACCAGAGCCTCCATGGCTGCCCGGAGAGCAGTGATACAGGCAGCAGCTTCATGAGATATTTGTAGTTTGATCCTAAAATAAAGAAAAATGATTTCAAAAAAGGAAGATACGCAGAGAAAGATTATCATCTCTCAATTTCACACATGGCAAGGGATGGAATAAATTTAACTTCTTACCAAGTACCAACACTTTCAACTCCTGCAATGGCCCCATACTTAGGTAAACAAAGATAAGAAGAATAACAACTGTTCTAATGTCTGAAAATTTACTGCTGGCTATTGACAGTTATTATAAACCACAAAGTCTATCAAGCAAAATATGACTGTCAGCAACATGGAGCACTCAGCATCCAATGAAAGAATAAAATAAGAGACTCAAAATTATTTTTATAAATTTTCAAGAATATGACTGAGCCTACTGACTGTTCATTAATCTCTATCCCATTTTTGCCAAATGCTTACTACATGCTTACCCTTAATCTCTTACCAAAGTATAGAGCACACGAAAATGGTACCCAAGCTCCAACATGGTTCTAATTCCTTAGTGCAGTATTCATGGCGGTAGATGCCTGATGCATCTGCTTCTACTGGTATAGTCGATTTAAGACATACTACCAAGTATGAACTATACTACTAAGACACACTACTCTCCAAGAGAAGACAATGTTATAAAGCATCTCATTGTGCCACCGATTTTGCCATGTTTGTTTCACAAATTAAGTTAGATCAGCAGCTAAATTTCATCACAGCTCAAGTCAAAGAATTCACTTGGAGTTCACATCTGAAAATCCGTACCAGTCATCTACGAGCACAATCTGCCCATCTGACTGGACCTTCTTGGAGGCGAAGAGAAGCAGCTGCAGGGGAGTGACTAAGGTCATGCCTTTAGCGGAGATGGCCCGGGTTCGAATCTGTAGGTGGGGAAAGAAGAAAGAGAAAAGAGCTGCCATTCCAACTGCCCATCAGCTGACATAATGATGATGAAGCATATTTGAAAATTAAGTCATGTTGCCATCACATATTAGTAAGTAAAGACAATTTGAGACAATGTGAATTTTCAAAGTAAACTTTTCTAAACTAATCTTTTCTTACCTTTTCACCAAATACAAAGAAGGGAGATGGGTACTTCATGTCTTGGCTGCTAAAAGGACAATTAACAGATGACTTGTGGATAAGTGCATTACGCCCTTCAGTGGTGAGAATCTTTCTCTTTTCCTTATGATAACACACATTGGGGTACACACCAAAGGCCAGAAGAGAGATAACAACATCCAAATTATTATCTGGTCCAGTGTTAGTAAACACTTGTGTCAACAAACAATCTGTTAAGAGGAATGCGGTAGAAAAAAATCAGTTACTTGGCTCATCTTTACACTGTATGTAAACTATTAAGAGAATTAGGAGAATTGATTCTTCTCTCAACTTCTTTTTTCAAATAACTTGCCTAACGTCCTGTCTCAGAATTCTTACATGCAGATTAAGTTCAAAGGGAAATTCCGCTGAGTATCTACAATAAGAAAACTAAAATTGTATTCTCTTACAAGTTCAACCATAACATAAGCTTGGAGTGATTACTTATAAAAAATAATAAATCCCTTATTAATCATCTATTCTCAGACAGGACCACAGTCGAAGTACTCCATCTGCAGTCCTTACACAGCTGTTCTTTCTCCAGAAGATGGAGTGATGATTCATGGGAACCCACTGGAACAAGGCTGATGTTTTCACCAGACTATGCTCAATGAGTACTTCATCACTGTTTGGGAAATATGACAGTGAAGCGCTAAGAGCATGGATATAGTTTCTTCTAGACAAACCTGAGTTCTGACCTAAAACCTCTGAACTGAATGAGTTGTGCACAAGTAATTTAAACTTCTATGTCGCTTTCCTCATCTATAAAATGGGATAATATTATCTGCAGGTCAGGATTGTTGTGAAGATTCTATCACATAAAAAAGGTTCTTTTCTCCTTTGATTTTAATAAAAAATTATAAATTTAGTCAGTTTACAACAGAAGAGAATTACTTTGTTCAGTTATTTAGATCAGGGGTCCCCAAGTCCGTGGCCTGTTGGAAACTGGACCACACAGCAGGAAGTGAGCAGTGAGTGAGCAAAGCTTCATCTGCATTTGCAGCCGCTCCCCAGAGCCAGCATCACCGCCTCTGCTCCACTTCAGATCATTAGGCGTTAGATTCTCACAGGAGCGCCGCTCCCTGGTGCCAGAAAGGTTGGGGACCGGTAATTTAGATCTCATCCTTTTAAAATCTGCCATTCTGCCTAACTACCTCTGTCTCTCCTCTAACAGGTCCTACTTTTGGTTATGTGTTCAAGTTCTCATTGCTTTAGGAAGTAACTCTGTCTCTTACTCTAGATGTAGAAGAAAAGTACAAGAGCTCAACTACATATCAAAAGATGAACAGCTGGACTGGTTCTACGTCACATATCATAAAAGTCCTCTGTAACTGTCCACACACTTAAACCTTAATTAAAGCCACTTAAAATGTAACATGGTAGAGCTTATTTCACATATAAAAATGAACACATGGCAGACTGACAAATCACTTCGCAAACCACTATCTGAAGTTATTCAACGAACTACTCACTCTCAGAGTGCTGAAAGCTAAACCAGTGCTCCTCACAAAAGATTTTTAAAAACTCCCAAAGTAGCATAATTTTTAAAACATCCATTATCATCTGTGTACACTACATTATAATTTGAGCACCATAACCTTTGCTTCCTTTTTTAAAAGACTAAATTAATGTGAAAAATTGATACAGTTCAAAGAACTAAGAGCTGGGAACATAGAAGATACACGGCATTGTCAACGTGTGTGCACATTAACGTCACTTCAGACATGTCTTGAGAGTATAAGTGTCTTACCTTCTGGAAATCCAGAATTGATCAGAATCTCTTTGAGCTGAACTTTGGCTTCCCAAGTCATTCTCAGTGTAGCCATATTGAGTCTTTTGTGCTCACAAAAACGTATCTCTGCTTCTTCTCCACCCATTCTAAAATAAAGAGGTATGATAAGCATCTTTCTCGAAGCCCAGATAAGTAGATACAGATTACAAACTAAAGACAGTTCCCCAAATCTTGCAACTCTTTCAAACCCATACCTAGCATCATCCCACGCTTGGAATACTGATAAAAGGGCCACGTGATCAGAAAACCTGTTTCCAGCAAAATTTCGATGGATATAACCCAGTCGCTTTCCTTCACTGATGAAAGGCTCTGGGAAGCAGGTGGCAGCGGAGATGGTACAGACAGCATCACCCACACTGAAACAAAGACAGGAAAATTCAATCTCAATCACATTCTTGTTCCAGCAGCTCAAGCAGTATTGTCAACCGTGGGCCACTGACTTTACTGGCTACAATACTGCTTTATTAGCACTGAAACTGGCTCATCAAATAACTTCACAGCTGCTCTCTCCTGAAGCAGAAAGGAAAAAAATGAGCTCGGATGCATATTTACCGTAAGTTATGACCAAGTAGTGTATATTTTTCCTTTCCTATTCTCTCCCATCTTACTAAATCTCTTAAATCTTCAAAACTTCCTGATAAAATATACCAGTTTTCCTAATGCTGTTTCTCTTTCAAGGACAACTACTGAAGAGAGGAACTGCACTTCTGAGAAATCTGTCCTCTCCCTCAACAAGATGGGCCCAGGTGTCCATCTTCTGGAACTGTTCTTTTCATTTCATACTTTTTCCACTATCTAAAGTACGCCACTTCCCTACTTAAGAACATTTAGTTTTCTCTCTTATCTATGTCTATCCTGTTTTCATGGGAAGGGCTATAAGATTCTGAAATTGTTCTACCATTTAACTATCAGAATAAAACAAAGCACTTACTAGAAAATACACCCCATTATCATCATTTTGCCAAGACGAGGCTCAATGGGGAGTTTAGCTAGGATTCGTCCCAGAGGAGTCAACTCATCATTGGAATCCAGTGCATCAAGCTCTGTGGGAAGACATTTCTTTGTGAGCAGAAACAGTACTGAACACCCCTTTAACCTAGGCAAAGACGAAATGTTTCTTTATAGATTAAGGTTAGGATAGTGCACTTAAGTTTCTATTAGTTGTCGAGCCAACTGCCAGCACCATGCCTATAGCCGACAATTCTCTTCACTCAGAAATAGAACAAACCAAATTCTGGAGCACTTAATATGAAAACGGCACTAAAATTAGGCCTTGAAGGTTTTAAAGCTGAATACAGTGAATACGGCCCATGAGAGGTCTATAGAGTAAAAACTATTAATAGCAGCGTAAGTACCTAGATGCCCCAAGTCTGATGCCATCTGTTAATGAGTTCTAGGTTCAAAATTCAAATTCAGATCCCTTGGCTCCAATGTCCTTATTTTTTCCCACTATACTATGCCACTTCAATCAAAAGTGTGATTAGAAAAAATAGGTGTTCTAAGAGATGCACATAAAATACTCTGGGTATCATGAGTGATTCATATTCTGACTGTTAAATATTGGTTAAGAGATGACACCTTGCCTTTTCCAAAGTAAAACTCACATTAGCTCTTTCTTACCTCGTGTTGCTCATTTTATAATATTGATCATACTAAGCAATAAGACATTGGAAACCTTAGCATCACAGCCCTGTGGACTGTATCTTAATTCATTTAAGTGTTATTTGCCAGAACAAGGCAGATGGTATACTTAACATGTGTCAGGTAGGTCTGTATATTTGTAAGTACCTCTAAGAGTGTGCTCTGCTTCAATCACAGCATCCAAAGGTGGAGGTTCAATTGCCTTGGCCAAGAATTGGCCAATTCCTCCCAAACGCAGAAGTTTTATGCTCAAAGCGATTTCATGCAACGGTGTCCGGAACATCTCTGGTGTCATGTGGGTTTCGAGTCTAAGAGAAAACAAGCACAAAATAACCATCCTCTCTTGTGTATACATACAAGTTTAATAAAAATCTTTGCAGAGATAATCAGGGATATAGAACTGCCCTTTTCTCATCTTTTTACAATTATGAAAGAACATTTTATATTTAAAAACTCTCTGGAGAAGACTCTCTTAACCGGCTGAGTCGGGGCTTATGACTACACTTATAAGCTGATGGCATTTTCAACTGGGGAATGAAGAATGAAAAAATTATCCCAAACCCCTAGAGTTATTACCCCTACCTATTGCTTCTTCAGGTCTCTTCTGCTAAAAAATATGGGCTAAAAATGGTAGCAAGACCTTTTGAGGGAGATGCAGGCTAAGAACATTTATTTCCCCACAACCTCCGCCCTTTCCAAGTCCATATAATTTTAGTGCCATGGGAAATGATCTTATAGATCATTTTACACAAAGAGCATTAAAACCCAGGTCTCTACACTTCTAGTTCAGGCTTATTCTCTATAAACCATTCGTGATGAAGATCCATGGGAACAATTTATAGGTGATTCCAACACTACTGGCAAGACTTAGGTCGGCTTAAATCAGGTTTACATAAATGCATATAGCATATCTCTCATTCAACAGAAAAAAAAAGAACAAAAATCCCTTATTATACGCCTACTCATGCATCATTGGTTAGTAACTGCTTTACTCTGAGATGTTAGAGTACAGTACTTGTTTCTTCAGCCCAAAGGACAATCTAACCTTTCAAAAGAATTAGTATCATCCAAACGTGCAGTCTCCTGAGTTAACCTCTGACGCTAAAATAAACCTGTATTTACAATTACCTGGGAGCCGCAGGTTAGCAGTGTAAAAGCAAATCAAAGCTTCTTTGTTTTTTCTTCAGAATTCGTCTGTCTCATAACACTTTATTGTGATAAACATACACACAGAAAATCTCTAACTCTACCTTTATTAACTACTAGTTAAAGCTAATGTACGCCACGTAGATATCCAGAAACAACTAAATACATATTTTAAATCTGAAATTCAGAGATAATTTTTTTTTAACCAATAGGTCTCATCCACATACATTCCCAGAAGGCCCTATATTAACGGACTTGGATTTCAGTCCTGGAGAAGTCAACTATACTTCTTAAGCTTTAGTTTCCATATCCAAATAATGCCCTCTATTTCTCAAGCACGTGGGGATATGAGATAGGTGATGGCTAACAGTGAAAAAAAAAAAAGAGTTCTATAAATACAAAAATATCACTTTGACATTTTTCAGAAAGTTAACCATTCCGTAAGTATCAGTAACCCAAAGTGATAAAGCTATGTGAAGCCAAAATAATGTCCATATGTTCTTCTTTTAAAAGGTTATTGGGTGAAAGGATTAAGAAGTACAAATTGGTGGTTACAAAATAGTCACAGGCACGTGAACTACAGCATAGAGAATACAGTCAATGATACTGTAGTAACTGTATGGTGCCAGGTGGGTACTAGACCAATTGGGGGTATTACTTTGTAAATTATATAAACTTCTAACCACTATGGTGTACAACTGAACTAATATAAAATATTACTGAATGTCAACTGTAATTAAGAAATGAAAAAAATATTTAATTAAATCTTAAAAAATAAAAGGTTATTAGTGAACAGTAAACCAAAATTAAACACGCCACCAGCGACGATTTCTGATTTCTTTTCATTCTTATCACAATATCATTATCTGAGGTAAGTTTCCTCTAAAATCTTTAACTGGAGGCATTTATGTACTGAATTTGTCAAATTCATGGCAGGGCAGAGACAGAGAAGAGGTATGTAATGGGATAAAAAAAAACTTCTACCACCTAGGAAGACCAGGTGCTGTAGGCATTAAAAACAAAAAACAAGACAAACAAACAAACGAAAACTTCCATCGTTATTCCAGAATTGACCTTACTTCTCAAAACGAGCTCGGCTACAGAGGTGAAAGCAGAACCCAGGCCGTACACGGCCAGCTCGTCCTTTCCGCTGCTCGAGGTTCGTTTTGGACGCCCATACTGTAGCATAGTTGGTCATATTGTTGTGAGCAGTGAACAGCTTTACTTTCTGCCTAAATAGGAAAGAGTAGTTAATTCTAAGACTCATATGTGCTACCAATACATAACTATTATAGTTCCACTAAGTGGTGGATGATTTCCAGATATTCATGCCTACTTGTGATGTCTATTTGTAAGGAGGACCAATAAGAATTTGAGTCTGCACTCTCCTGTCAACTTACTAAAAGGCAATGTAACAGACATGCGCCACTTACCAGCTGGAATATTTTGGCAAAGTTACTATTCTGAGCCTCATTTTCCTCATCATACTATCATCTACCTCATCTGGTTTTTATTTATAAACATTAAGTGAATCAATAAATGGAAAGCATTTAAACATGATCTGGCACATAAATGTAAGTGATAATCATTCAAGCCAGTGTTATTCCAAAGTCTAGTTTAGCTCTGTAGGTTTCCTATGCTATCTATGATCTAAAGGTTATGCTGAACCAGAATATGTGGCACTTCTCATGACCTCACCAAGGAGTGCCTGCATGGTCCTTCTGAACCCCTAGCCCCAGGGTCCTTCAATGTCACGCACAGGCAGCTGGCACTAAATGACTGGAATTGGCACAAAAGAGCTGCATACTATTCACCATTCCCTAAACTGGGTGGTGTCAAATCTTTTTCAATTGCCAATCAGGTTGAGGGACGATGCAGGGAAGACATGAGGCACAAGACAGCCAGAGAGAACCAAATTTTGACTGTGTATCAATTACTATACAATGACTTTATCTAAACACAATGCCTCCCTGTATATTTTCAAGGCTCATCTTATACCGAATATAGTCTTTTAATTTTTAAATGAGTATCCTATACAGGTAGGATATTGTCATGTGCAGAACACTGATCATCTTTATGAACCAAACAGCATGCTACCATACGGCAGTAGTCAATGGAAACACCCAAGGGAAGATGAGCAAAACACCAGCAGACAAAGGCAATGAAGTTACGAGTGTTAAGCTCTGTCATTTCCTACCATAACTAACTTATGATGATCAACACCAAGAGAAATGATTAATTAGCCTATAACCTAGCATAAGATGCATAATAATTTAGATGGAATAAGAACACAAGAATTTAAAAATAAGGTGTTTTTGATTGTTAAGTGATACTAAATACTACGTGAAACATTCTAAAGACAGAGTCTAGCAAATAGGTTCGTTGGGAACTTACTTGCAGGAGTCAATGACATAAACAACATCATTTATGGTAATGCTTGTCTCAGCAATATTTGTGGACAAAATAACCTGTGGAGAAACGATATTAAGGAAAATTACAAATCAGAAAATATTTTCCTATTGTATACTTGAAAGGATTGATTTACTTATGTAACAAATGACAACAGAATTACAGAAGTCTTAAAAAAATCACTCGCATACTGACTGGATAATAAAACCTACTAAACTCCAGAGAAGACTAAAGAGAAGACTTCTCCATTTTTTCTCAATTCAGACAGATTATAATTTTTTTGATAGCTCTTTGAAGGCCAGTAACATCTGTTTAATATCTATGTCACTTCCAACCCCATAACTGTAATGTTCATTATTTACCTTGGTTACTCCACCCGGTACTGGATCAAATACTTTACGCTGTTCTTCTCGAGGAATCTGAGAATGCAGAGGTAGAATCTGATACCTATGACTTCCTATAACAATATAGAAAAGTTAGGGTCTAACATAGGAGCCTAGTTTAAAACTGTTCTACATTATGCTTATTTTTATTCAAAAATGGCCACAACACTAAATTTTGTTTTTATGTATCGGCTAGGGCACAAGCAAAAGTATTTATTTTCATACTCATACATGTGAGAATTCAAAGACTCGTACCAAAATGTGGATTCATCTCCAAATGCTTCTGCATGGTGTAAATCAAATTCCAACCGGGCAAAAAGACCAATACGGCTCCAGGGACATTGAGGGTCTCAATGTACTTCAGCAGAGCCTCAATGAGTTCAAAAGGAGTTTCTTTTTCATTCAGTTGAGCCATGCTCATCTTTGTTTCTGGACCGTATTCATCACCACAGATCAGGTTGCAATTTGCCTGCAAAACATAGGGAGACATATTCTGAACAGTCTCAATTTCTACAGCTCATAAGCTTCTTAGATTTGTTGTGAACATCCAAATGACACCTAATTACCGTGTTAATTCTAGTTGATTAGTCGTCTCAGGTATACAGAAGGATGTTAATTTCCAAAACTGTAGAACCTATTGCACATTGACATACTTCATTTTTCTAGTGACCAATACTTCCCATAGGACATGACTAAAATTCAAGCAAACTCTTATATTTGACTCTGAAACTTCTAATGACTCCTTCTACTGAGTATTTTTTTCCCTTATTACTATAAACTCATGGTTTTTCAAAAACATTTTCCTCACTGATTAATAAACTCCTATGATCCTCTGTATCAATCACCATGTAATTACTTTATCTATATACAATACCTCCCTGTGTAATTCCCAAGCTCGTCGCAAATACGAAGTCTTTTAATTCTTAAATAAGCGTCCTGCAGGCAGGATATTTGATCACTTTCAACTATCTCTGAAATAAGGTGGTATTTCCCAAAACATGTGCCTTAGAATCAATAACAAAAAAAGCCTTCAGCAATGAGAAACAAAGCTGTTACAATGGGTCTTTTTCTCAGGTTTCTGATTAAAAATATCCAATCCCAGGTTATTTCCTATCAAATTCTGCATCGCTGGTTGTCTTATATTACTCATTCTTTTCACATTTCCAGTTCCATATTGTATATGGACATCTTGATAAAAGGTAGATTTAGTGTATGGGGGGTGGGGCACAAGAGTCTGCCTTTCTAACAGCTTCCCGGGTGTGTGGACCACAGAAAACACTTTGGGTAGCAAAGCCTCATAAAATGGATCTATCTCTAACCACGTGTGGTCTTTAAACTGCTTACTCTTTTCTCTTCTTTTTCTTTGACTTTTATGCCAGAGATGATTTAACTCATGATATGAAAAGAGCTTGAGGCTGAACATGAAATCCTTTGGAGTAACATATATCAATTAATTCAAAGATAGGCATTATGGTCAGTTCTTAAACAAGTTTTCTGTAATTCTAACTCATTGCATGTTTTTACTAAAATCCATTCTCTTCTTGGTAACAACAATTTGCCCATAATGAAAATTCGTTTTTGAAATTCACTTACATCATCATCCTCACCGCCATCATCGTCCTTATCCTTCTTCTTCTTGTCCTTTGGTGGAGGAACAAAGTGGGTCATCTGAATACAGTCTTCCAAAAAATATTCTGCCAGGACAACCAGTTAGGTAAGTTCTACCAGCTTTCAGAATGGAGCAACCTTTAAAACCCATTTTCTACTTCAAAATTCAAAATTACCTTAATACCTATCAACTTGATTCTTCACAACTACCAAGAAATTCCAGTGGCAATAACCTCTTTTCCCAATCAAACTCAGTGTTTGATTCCAGTGGCAATAACCTCTTTTCCCAATCATCTCGTGGACCTTAAAGAAGGGTGAGGTATCTCTTACACATGTTCCTACAAAGCCAGTCAGGGCATCCCCTATACACATGTTCAATCAGACATTCATAAAATGGCTATTGTGCACATGTACTATGTTGTACTCTCTCATGGTGTGGGAGCTGTATGTAAAAATAACATTGATACAATAATATACCACAGTCCATCTTTCCTCTATTAGGATGTACATGTAAAATGGGTTCCTTTCAGTTATTTCTCTGAAGAAGGGCCTTGATGCAAAGGTTGCAACATCTGCTGATTATGCTCCTGAGGTTCTCTGATGGGCCCAGAAGTGTCTCATAATCTGAACATGTACCCTTTGAGCCCTAAGAGCGCCAAAGTGCCATTCTCATCACATTATATCCGGGGTACATACTATTAACATGGCTCATCACTGAGGATGTTCATCTTGATCACCTAAGATGTTATTTATCCAGTTACTACACTGTCAAGTTACTCTCGTTTCCCCCTTTCCAGACTCTACTCTTTGGAAACGAGTCATTGAGCACAGCAACTCAAGAGAAGGGAGCTAAGCCTCACCTTTTTGAGGGAGAGTATCGACATATTTTTTATTATTCTTCTTATGAAAAATGTCTTTATTAGCCATTTACTTATTTAACTCCCATACAGATTCCTGGGTATTTATTTATACTGAGGGTTATAATCCAATACAATGTTATTTTATTTTTTTGCTCAAACTATTCCAGCTGTAAGCACTGAGAGCTCTTTCAGGGGGGCTCTTAAGTCCCTTTGTCTCCATCTATTGTTTTGTTTTAAAGCACTTCCTTATTTCCTAGCACTACAAGATAGTCCAGGCTCATCTTTTATATTCCCTGCCTTAACCTTAGAATCAGCCATTTCTCCCAGGACATCTGGTTCTTTAACTGGAAAATGGTATTGGAAATAAGATCTGAGTGTTGGCATGTTCCTTGCTACTGGGATGTCAAATGCTTCAAAGACCACTCAGCAGAGCTAGAAAATATATATTTATGTTAATCCATGTAGTCATACATCTCTCTATTTCTGTAAGTATCCATTTGTATATAAACGAATATATACTAGTTACTTAGTGATGTCTCCAACTGTAATCCAGTACCACATGGTTCATTCAAGCCTTCTTCTCCCACCAACAGTAAGCCTGGCTCCTACCATTGGTCATTCATATATTTGTTTTTTCTAACCCCAGTATGCTTTTAAAGCAGTTTTAGTACTCTTGTGAGCTAAAACTGCACTGGCTTTTATTCCAGAGCTACTCTTAACTTTAGAATTTTAAAAATTAGCACCCTGAAATACCCATTAATCATTTCCTATCTAAGCTGAAAACATTCTACCTGATTTTCATGCCCTCAATTAGACTGTGCCATGATTCTTTTTTTTTTTTCACTCAAGCTGCTAAAAAATGGTGATAACAAAATTTTTTAAAGAATTACTTATAGTTATTAGAAATAGTTGTTCTTGAAACACTCACCTTGATCTCATTTTAAAAATCTGCCTGCTCTGGGTCTAAGATTCTCTGGTTAATTTGACCCTGGCTGCTTAAACTTTTAACCGTATTTCCGAAGATCATTTATAGACTATACCAATTTACATATGACTGTATATAATTTTAAGAGTTAAGTCTGGCTATAAATAAAGGGCAGGAAATTTACTGGATACACAAACTCCACTAGTAGTCGATAAAACGTGTTCTTACGCCTAAGACTGTACTCACTACTGCTTGACTAAAACCCTGAAAATGCTATGATATATTTGATACTCTAATTTGGCCTGTATTTTCAATTTCATTGTCTTTTAAACTATAAAGAACATTTTATTAATCTCCAGAATTAAGAAATTGATCAATTATGCTCCCAAGGAGCACAAAAGATATTCACCCTCCCACCCAACCCCCACAATATTTACCTTGAACTGGGTAAGTCCTCCCATAAACTTCGATGATGGGGCAACTGAAGAAATATTCACAGAACATGCTGGTATCAATAGTAGCAGACATGAGAACAATGCGGACTTCAGGATAAGCCTGAACCACATCACGCAGCACGACCAAAAGGAAGTCTGTCTATTAAAACACAAACACACACACACACACACACACAAGAAAAGGCCAAAATCAAAACAGCCAAGAGTTGAGAAGTTGCAGGTTACACTATTCATCAAGAGAGGAGAATTGTAGCACACACACACACACACAATTACATAAGAAGTCCATGCTAATGAGCTACACAAAAAAGCTTTGTTAAACGGCTGTAAAATATCAGTGAAATTCAGTTTCTTAGGTGGTGTGTAGAATCCTAAAATTAAGGGTTATGGTGAGATACAGTAATAGTTGTAGCCTAATATCTCTGAGGATTAAAAATGAGTGCTATTCAGGTAGGCAAAGGAAGGGAAGAGAAAATTAAAAAAGGGGAAATTCATGATGAGCCAAAAATCAGTTATGCAATCACCTATCAAGTTAATCTCTAAAATGGTTTATTCAAACAAAATAATGGCCAAGACATTTACTATTTAATATTGCAAAGTATCCATCAACCCACCAAAGAACACGAAAGCTAGAACTTTGACACAACTTTTCTCTGGCAGTGTGGCCCTCTCGTCCAGCACTGCCTCCCCCCCAAGTAGAGATAACCACCATTCCGAATCCTGTTTATATTTTCTTCATATAGCTTCATTTCATGTATATGGATACTTAAAAATATGTTAGCATATATATATATATATGTATTTTATTTTTAATTTACTTATTTCTGACTTTATGGGAATGTTTATTTTATGTAATCTTTTGGGATTTCCTTTTTCATATACTAGAGTACTGCTAAAATTTATTCATATGCGTTACTACAGTTATTCTAATGACTGTTTATATCTCGATGTGTGAATATAACGATTAATTCACCAATAGGTATTACTGAAATTACCTTCTATAGGTAGATACTGCGGGTATCTGGGTTGTTTCCGAAATTTTACTATTGTGAACATCTGCTACTATGAACATTCTTGTTCATGTCTCCTGTTTCTATGGGTAAGTGTGGGTACGCAACTATAGTTATAGGGTATGCAAATGCTGAACTTCAGGAGATAATGTTAAATATTTCCCTAAGCGGTTCCAACTCATATACCTCCATGGAGGATAAGAGGCCCTGCTGATCCTTATATTTTCCAACACCTGGCACTGTCGCTTATATTTTATTAATCGAATTAATATAAGCAATATCTTATTGTGGTCCTCATTTGTATTTTCTTATTCACCAATGAGACTGAATACCTCCTCATGTTTATTAGCCAAATATGTTCCCTCTTTTATAAAATGCCTGTTTGTATTTTCTGCTTTGTTTTCTACTGAGTCATTTGTACTTTCCTTACTGATTTGTAGCTGTTTATATATTTCTATATTAATCTTTTGTTGGCTATATTGAAATCTTCTGGCTTGTGGTTTTCCTTAAAGTATATTTTGACTGAACAAATCAACTTAATAGAGAGGAATACACCATGGTTAGTGTATTTTGTCTTTTAATAAATCCTTCCAGAAGGTCTAGAACTATGTTGCCCAGTACAGTAGCCACTGGCCATATGTGGATACCGAGCACATGAAATGTGCCTAATATAAATTGAGACATGCTAAGTGTGAAATATACACCAGATCTGAAGACTCATTATGAAAGAGAATATAAATTATTTCAATATATTTTTTATATTGACATGTTGAATGTAGTTTAGAAATATTGAATTAATTTCGCCTTTTAAAATGTTACTAGAAAATTAAGTTACATAATGTGGCTCACGTGTTTCTATTGGACAGTGCTGTATAGATATTTACTTACATCTTCTATTTAAGAGTTTTAAAATTGCTTTGCCATTTAAGTCCTTATTGTTCTGGGGTTGGTTTTTGTATTTTGTTATGATATAACAATCCAATTTCAACTACTTCCTTAGGACTGACCAATCATTTCCAGTTCCATTGAAGAGTACATCCCCTTCCACTGACCTGACGTGCCATCACTTATACCAAAGCTACATAGAACACATGTTTCTATACTCTATCCCATTGGTCAATCTGTCAACTCAAGTACTATACTACCTCAATTATTATAGCTTCAATTAAGTTCTGATACCTGTAAAGCAAGACCTTCCATCCGGTTCTTCAGAAGTCCCGGTTATTTAGCCATTGAATCTTCCTTATAAGTATTTGTAATCAATCTATTAAATTCTATGAAAAATCCTATTGGGAAATTTGATCAGAACTGCATTCAAACTGTGGATCAACTTGGGGAAAATTGGCATCTATATGATATTAAGTCTTCCTAGCCATGAACATAATCTGGTCCTTTTAAGCATTTCGTAACAAAGTTCTATTTTTCCTATAGAAGTCCTCCATGTCTTTTTTTGGATTTATTTTTAGGCACTTGACATTCTGACTACTGCAGTGATCTTTTTAGTTGTTTTCTAGCTGTTTGTTTATAATATGTAAAATGAAAACATTTATATATTAACCTTTTATTCAGCCACATGGTTAATTTTTCCTAGTCTCCTATTATTTATAATAATTGGTTTATAAGTTGTTTGGGGTTTTCTCACATTAAGTCCTGATATCTGTAAAGCAAGACCTTCCATCTGGTTCTTCAGAAGTCCTGGTTATTTAGCCATGAATCTTCCTTATAAGTATTTATAACCAGTCTATTAAATTCTATGAAAAATCCTGTTGGGAATTTGACAAATTTAAATAAGGCTTGTCTGAAAAAGAACATAAAAAGCTTCTACAAAGGCACTTTACCATTTTTCAGACCTGACAATCATGCAAAAAAGTTAACCGAAACTACTTATAATTTTTAAGGAAAATAGTAATGACCATAATCCATGATATTTCCAGTATGATTTGGAATTATTTAAACTCTAAGAACATTGGTATGGTACCACAGTAATAAAGACAATATTGAAACATTTAATTTTGATTAATTAAAAAAAACAACAAAGTCTTCAAGAGATTCTGAATGACAAAAAGAGGAAAAATTTTATCTGACATTTACAGTTCAATTTCTGATTTAAAAAATCAACTGATAAATCATCCAAACTTTTTATTTGCTTTAGCTCAATCATAAAGATCAAAGATTTGCCAAAACTAAAAATGATTAACAACAATAGCTATAAAAATATCTTGTGGAGGAAGAACTCTAACAAATGTTTTCAGTAATAAAAGCTGGTGACAATTTGAATGACATACTGCCCAACCACTGACGCCTTTCTTTGGATATGTAAAACAGTGGTATAAAAACAAATCATTACTTTATGATATCAATCTTCAAATTATTAATTATATAATAAATTCTATTCAAGCTTTGCCAAGTACCAAAAGAGGGAAAGATGCGAGATAAATTCTAGTTTCTCCCTAGTTCTGGCATGATCATCATTAACATCTGAAAAGATTAGAGCTGCAAACTTTCAAAAGACATTGTTAATCATATGACATCTAAAAATTATAAAACTTATCACAGATAAACCTCCAATTCAAAGAAAACCTGATTTTAAAATTCCATCAGCTATTCATAGTCATGAGTCATTAGTTCAATTGTTCAATCATGATAGCTCTTACTGATCACTGTAATTATGCTTCATTTACAATAAGAGGTCTTTACTTTTAGAACTCTGTGATTTTAACAGGGAAAAAAAGATTTAATAGGCTCAGTAAAAAAAATGGTGTCCAACACCTTAACGGCTCAAGTTCATGGTTTTCATAGATGTAAACGGTGGGAAAAGAAAAACAGAGATTCTATTTTGATTTCTTTTTACTCAGACTATTAACATTAGTACCTTATCATGATACTCAAGTTACTTACATTTATGTCTCTTTCATGTATTTCATCTACAATTACATGACTGATTCCTCGAATGCCTGCTTCTAATTTTCTTAGGAGCACACCTTGAAAAGAAAATCAGCTGGAGATGAGTTTCTATGCTGACTTAAGTTAGGGAAGATAGAAAAATGCAGAGAAACAATTTTCTAGACAATCAACTATGCTTCAATGAATATAACCTCAGCATCATATTTGCAAGATTTAACTCTAGTAACTTAAGCTAATTCATTTTCTCTAAGCTACAACAACCAGCAGGTACATAATGCTTTCCATGAAAGAAAAAACTACCCAAAGTTCTAGTCAAACAAGAATTCTGAAACTGGCTCCTTGATTTATTATTTCCAGCCATTCCGTGCTGTTAACAAGTTTTCTTCAAAAACAACACTATAAATATAAGCTCAAATGAAAGACCAAAATAAAGCACATTACTGACCTACAGTACAAAACATTATACTGGCATGAGGGCGGGGAAGTATAGACTCAAACCGAACACTATAGCCACAGCTTTTCCCAGGCTCTTCTCCTCTCTCATACGCAACGCGCTCTGCCACAGAAACTGCACTGATTCTCCTGGGCTGAGACAAGAAAAAAAAAAGATTTAAAAGCTACAAAATTATAGTTACACTTGTTTATCAGGGTTATTAAATTATTGTAGTAAATCTGTCCTACTGCCAGCTCAGTAATCAACAGAAGCAATAATAGTAATGATATCTTTACGAAGCTGTGAAATTTATTTTTTAAAGAATCGGACACAAAACTTACCGCTTAATGGTAATGGTAGACACTTAAAAAATGCTGTTTTTCATTCTGTATACAAAGTTATTCCACGGTTTTTACAGACAATACAATTTCTTCACCATTTGCCTAAACTCTTAAAGATACTCAGTGATTTTCCAATAAGGGAGGGGGCAGAGCACATGTGGGGAGCTTGTTCTTTTAACTGCCTACAACAGTGAAGGCACATGTTTACAAAATAATTAAGTGAGATGTATGGGTATTAGGAAGGCGAACAATCTCCTTCTCTGCCATATCTACTGTGGCCACCTTGCATTCATTCATTAACTCAAAGCAAGCATTCATTGCATATTTGCATCACGTGCCAAAGAAGGTGTTAAGAGATAAGAAACTGAATGAAATCACTCCTGTTTGATGAGTTTACATAGCAGGGAAAACTAAGTGTATATTATTGTTTCTAGCCATACATATGCTCAACCCTTAGGGGAATGCTATTGGTTAATGCTTTAAGTGTTAGACCTTGATTTTTCCGAAAACTTTTCTGAAAGTGTTCCATTTCTTTTAAGTACACAAAACGGTATTTACTTGGTGGATGTTATGTCCTAAACGTATAGCTACGGAGGTACACGAAAACTTATAAAGACTGAGTGCAGAAAGTTAAAATATGCATACCCTCTGATCCAGTAACTCCATGTCTAGGAATTTATTCCAATAAAATAACCAAACGACTGTATGAAGATGTACATACAAGTATGTCATCCCAACATATCTACTAAAATATTAGAAACAATCTTCGAAAAGCTCCATTATTTAAGAATAAGGGCATATGCATACAATGGAAGATTATGAAGTCATTAAAAAAATTATGCGGTTGCTCTAATACACCACTGTTACATAAAGAGGATTAAGACGGTCTCCACGTAGTGTATGCACACTGCAGCCTGAAAGGATGGAGACCAAGAGTGAAAATGATTCCTTCTGGATGGTGGGATTCTGAACAGGATTTGCTTTCTTTCAAAATTTACTGTTTTCTAATTTTTTTCCCCAATGGCTATCCATTACTTTTACAGTCAGAAAAAAAAAGCAATTAAAAAATCTAATTCTCATTATAAATATTCACAAGCATTTTGTGTAGAATACTGCTCAATGTAAAATACTACTAATAAATGTTTAACTACATACCACCTGATAGCCTAAAAAGTTGCTCTACTACTTATCTCTTAAATAATTTATCCCTTTTCCCTTGCTCGTTGGTGCGTCATTAATTATTTTATATACTGTCTGACAGTGAGTACATACAAGGCAAGTTTCACGAGTAAAACCTCATTTTCCATGTACGCCATCAGATCTACTGCTCACATATGGCTTACCTGCTCCTCCTTTAGCTATTTTATAGTATATTGAAACATTCTATATTCTACGAATAACTATAAAGAAGAATCAAGACTATGGAAGACCTCTAGAACCATAATTAATATCTGTATAACAGTAAATACCATGGCCACATACTATTTGTGCTTCAGAACAAGAGTGAGATTTTTTTCATTTTGATTAAAAAAAAAAGTCACAGAAATTATTTTTCCTAAATTCATAGAAATGACTTTGGATGTAATATGAATTTTCTTTACTCCCTATCTAATCTTTTCCTCAATTATTTGCTTATTGTAGCTTTATGCTGTATTTGGATTATTAAATGTGTTAAAAATAACACAATAACCAATTTAAGTGCAACTAGAAAGTAGAAGTAATGGAAGCCAGGGATAATGTTAAATCATTCCAATGTAATGCTTCAAATTATCCTCCAGCATAAGAGCTTTTCTTTACATTTTCAGTGCATTTATCTGCTGATCTCGCTTTCTCTACAGAATCTTACTGCTCTTGCTTGGAGTCCGGTCTTAGCAGCAGGCAGTCTTACTCCCTTTTTCACAGCTCATCTGTGTTCACTTTAACTGAAACAGGTACCATGTACTGAGTCCTCACCGAGATCAGTGTGTGCCAGACACTGGGCAACACTTCCCAACCACAGGCAGGCGAGAGTCTGTCTCAAACTGTTCTTCCGCAGTATTCTAGTATCTGCCTCTTTGATGTACTCCCTTTTGACATTTACCCAGAACTGTAATAATTTCTGATCTTAGAGCTGTCTAACGGAAGAGGTACAGGTCCCAGAACTGCACCTCTATTTCTCATCTGGGTATTTAAATACATGGTTATAAAACTAGGCTGCAATAAAATGATTTCTAAGGCATCAGATATCACAAAACATATCTGGCTCCACTTTCCGTTTTCTGAGTTCTGGGTTTATTTTACATGAGGGACAGCTGTATTCTGAAACGACGGCATGCACTAAGGATTTGGTAAAAGTCAACCATTACCTGTTTTGCCAGCCATGCCTATTCTCCTCTGACTAGTTTTCACTGAATATTATTAGGTGATAAGACAAAGAAGACCAAGATCTGGATGTGAACTTAAAGAGAAAGTACTCTTAGTATGTTTGATTCTAGGCTCAAAGACTCCCTCGAGCCCAAAGAAAAAGAATCCCCCATATGGTTCAGTTTAGCTTATCAGTGAAGGACATTGATTAAAATAAGACTTAAGTTCTTGTTATGTCTTATTTTAAATGTTAAGGGGCCTAATGCCCTACCATGTTCAGAACCTTATGCGGCTACAAAGGCAAGTTGATCAAAGAATTAGGATTGATCCTGCCTCTAGGTATTTCCACCTTCGAACTCTATCCACATCAGACACACACCTAGTAAGCTGGCTTACTACTTACCTGAGTAACTACAATATTACACTCTGCTGCTCGGTCATTCTGGATGAAGTCATCTAGGATAAACTGAGGAACTTGTGTGGTTTTACCACATCCAGTAGCACCTCGGATAATGACAACTGAATTTTGACTAATTGCTTCCAGGATTTCACTTTCAAATTTCTTCACAGGCAGTAACTCTCTCTCCTGCAAAATCTATATTAAAAAACCTCAGTTACACCTCAGTCGAGTTTCTACCAGTATATACATTAGAAGCAATGCTAAAAAAGTTTGACATCTCTATAAAAATTTATTCCTTTCCACTGGCTTAGTACTCAAAATATACTTTTCATAAAAGGATGTATGTATCTGTATCTCTAATAGAATTGTCCCTTCTCACTAAATTTCTAAAGAATCTATCTAGTAGCCTTGTCCACACCATATTTCCCTCCTTTCTCCCTGGACATTCCATGTACATTCTCTTTCTTCTAATATTTTAATGTTGTTGTATTTGGGAAAAAAAACCCTGAAAATCACCAGAAGAGTTATTACCCCAAATCTCCCCACCTACATTAACTAAGAATCCCAGGCCTGTAACTCAAGACCACGACACCTGGCAGTAACTAAGAAAGCAGTTTGGTAAATATTTTTGATCTACCTTCCTAAAAAGGGCAAAGTATATTATTCACTATCCTTTGGCCCACACCTAGAAAGTTCTGAAGCTCTGGGCACCATATGTCTATCTACTTCAAAGACTTACAGCTTGCAAATCATGATCCTGGTCCAACTGGTACATTAATTCATTCTTGAGATCCCTGCTTATTTGTTCTGGTGTAGCCTGTAAAATGGGCAGACAATAGTCAAACAAAAGCACATAACTAATCTTCAAACTGAATCCGTTTTCTTACCTAGACATCCTAATGAAATAGACCCAAAAGTGAAATACAAGAGTCTGATCTCAAAAATAGTGTTGCACTCACATAAGCCAGGGGCCCCTCATCGATGTTGCTGCTAGTCCAAGGATTCCAGTTGGATTGAGGAGGTGACCAAGGAACCACACCCATTTGGCTTTGTCGCTGAGATGGCTCAAAGTGAGCCAATTTGCCAAGGTTGAGTACAACAGGCACCGAAGGATCATCAGGCTATTTTTTAAAAAAGAAAAACAAACCAAAAACCAATACCAGTTGCTTGTCTGACTAGAGAATTTCCACACAAAAGTGTACTAAATAACTGTATGCTTACTGGGGGCATGATCTCAAGATTTAGCTCTTGAATGATGTTTTGCAGCTGATGCTCTAAATCTTGAGAGAGGTTGACTTTGTAAGGCTCCACCTACGGAGAAAGGATGACCATATAAATCGTGCAACATACATACGAGCACCACTCAATTTACTATAGCAGGGTCAAGAATATGTGGTCAACGTCAAGTCTACGATATTCCCAAAGCCAACAAGGAGTTAGTTCCTTTCCTCGAAAGAATTATTTCAACTACTGCCCACTATGCACATAGCACTGGCCAGACACAGATAATTAGTGAGATCATTTCCATTTCTTAAGGTAAGACTCCTAGAACTATAAATTAAACTTCTTTAACCAGATACTAAACAAGAGCTAAATTGACTTTTACAATATTTCTCTGGGCCACTAAGACTAAAGACTCACTGTCTCTCCTTCTTTCTTCTTTGTAAGTCCAGAGTACGCTTCAATCACTCCAAGATGGTAGAGCTGTCTGACAAGTGACAGGGCACAGGACTGTGCTGCCAGTTTTTTATTTGATCCATGTTCACGTGCAAAAATCCCTATAAGTTAAGGTCGGGATTATCAAAGACAGAAGAGTAACTCGTAAAGAAACATCTTATTTTGTAAGCAACTAGAGGCTTAGGTACTAAAAACCCCCCAAATAGAGAGTAAGTCATGGGGTCTAAGTTCTTTTTCATTTTAACTGCTAATCAAAAGCAATTCCATAATAGTTTATCAACTAAGTAACCAACCATTTTGATTATGGGCTGACACTAGACACATATAAACCATCACTATAAAAACAAATAACCTATTTCAATAAAAGTTGTCATCATTAAAATCATTTAACATTAAAACAGGAAGAAAATATAGTTTAACTTTTGAAAAGCAAAGAGTCAAAAAAGCAAAAACAAAGGAAGAAAAATAGATCCAAAGTGGTTATGCAGACCAGGGGTTAGCAATCTTCTTCTATAAAAAGTCAGGTAATAAATATTTTAGTCTTTACAAACTACATGATCTGTCACAACTATTCAACTTTGGCTTTAAAACTTGAAAGCATCCAGACAATACTTTACTAGGGTTTGACAAACTATAGGCCCAGGAACTAAAAATGGTTTTTATGTTTTTAGAGTTGTACAAATATGACAAAAATAAGTGTGCGATACGTGACCAATAAAACTTGAAAATATTTACAAAAGTTTGCTATCCCCTGACATAAACAAATGAGTCTGTGTTTCAATAAAGCTTTCTTTATAAAACAGACAGTGGGCTGTATTTGCCCAGAGGGCTGTAGTTTGCTGATCCTGACATTATTAGACTAAAGCTAGTAGCTACTCATACTCTTAAACTGTAATATAAAGTTTCCTCTCCTTCAATATCCTTCAGCTTTAGGAGAGATGATATAAAGCACGAAGGGACAGGCACAGATGCCTTTCTGCCTAACTAGCCAATTCAGTCTAATTTTGACGGTCAGATAATGGCTGACAGGAGCTGGACTACCTTTACCCTCTTCCCTTAACATCCTATCCTCTCAATTAAAATAACTTATTGTTAAAGTCTAGAATACAAAATTCAAAATTGTCTCCTGGTGATTCATTCAATTCAAAAGTTTCACTCTTATCAGGAAAGTCCTTCATATACAAAATGTAAAACATTAATGTTAATTGTAGAATTCCCAAGCTGGAAAGACTCGTAGGCCATTTCTCTCAATTAACTGCATCCCAGTGATATAAAGTGTCATTTATTCAAAGTCACAAAACCTGTAACAAAACAGGTACACAGAGGTGGTTCATTATCACTGGAGCACAACACACTGCTGTAAACTTACCGGGTGAGAATAAAACGCATCACATCTTTGCCTTCTTACTTCCTTTATAAATAACCCCAATCTATTCTTTGTTTCCTCAGGTTAACTTTCTTAACTTTTCTTCTTGACTCTATGACTTTTAAATGCTATATACATCCAATCTATCGTCCAATTTACTCTTTTAAAAATTTCACTTAGCTAGTTTTACTTAAACTGAAACTTTTATGGAGAAAAATAAAAAATGTTTTAAAGTTCGCTGCCACTGGCAGACGCCTAAGTAGCTCACCATCTCTTACCCTTTGAAATATAACACCAGCATCACCTTTTTTTCACATGCGAATTGGGAAACTGGGCCCTCTAATTCATATAAGTACTAATATTCTAAAATACCCAAGATGCTACCTTATATCATACATTCTTTCAATTAATAAAGCTTATGTGGTCTACGGCCATGCCACCCTGAACGTGCTCGATCTCGTCTGATCTCGGAAGCTATGCAGGGTTGGGCCTGGTTAGTACTTGGATGGGAGACCACTTAGGAATATCAGGTGCTGTAGGAGTTAAGAAAAAAAGAATAAACAAACAAACAAATAAATAAAATAAAGCTATGTATCTGTAGCTCAAGACTCTAATGTGATTATTACTCTACTAAACAAGACTCGGAATATGAGGGGAGCATAACACTTACTTCTGCCCAGTTGCTTGATATAAATGGTCATTTCTGCAATAAAGCTCCTGTAACAACATATACAAACAAGGTTATGAATTTAAATGTTAGAAGTACTAAATCTAGGACTCCCAAATCAGGCAGGTTTTCCAACTGCTCAGGTAAATAACAGCAAAAAATATAAATAAAAAAATAAACATTTACTTCTGTTCAATTATAGAATAACATATATAAACTTCAAATGTACAACATGGCACAAGACTAATATAACCAAAGTTGATGAGCCAATTTTTCATGAAAAGAAAATGTTAGGGTTTTACATTCTATACTTACTTACTCTTACTCTTTTTCCAAAGGTTGTACTCTGAATAGCTAGAACAAATTCAATAAAAAGGAATTTTCCACTTAGCTTGGGGCCAAGAAATAAAATAGGACCAAAGCTCTTGAAATTATAGTTGTGACTATTTTAAGATTCCTCTGCATGGGCCACCCACTAATGACTGCAACCTGTTAAGATAAGCTAACTGTATGCATGCATGCACACATACACAGGGACATATAAACACTAAGCATGTACCGGTGGCTCCTGAGGCAGGGGTATCTGCCTATAGTTGGAAGCAAGCCTTGACAAGAAATTTAGCTTATTTATATCACATCGACTTAAATCAGGTCCTGGAGAACAAAATATTTTTGAAAATTATAGCTAAAATTGCTAGCAGATTCTAGGGAATAATGCAGATTTTACCAAGGGAAAAACTGTCCTTTGAAAACTATGCTTTCTGATCCTCCCACTGCTCAGGTACATTGTCACACTGACTTTGTGCTGTGAACAAAAGGTTTGGTGAGGCTTAAGAAAAAAATTAATGTTAGATCCTTCCTATACCTCTTGTGAAAGAACTGACCTTCAGGCACAGCGGCTTCAGGGATCAAAGGCCACTGACTTTCAGGGGAACAACATCCACCCTTTCATTAATGACACCGATGCCAGTATGTTTCTCAGCCAGGCTTAAAGTCAATCTCAATTCTCTTCCACCTAGGGGGAACAGCGACACCAGAAATCAGTTTACAACAGTTTCCCATGTGATTGCTTAGTTCAGCCTAAGCAGCAGCACATGTGTGTATGAACACAGACCTCTGGTGTTGCTGTCTGTCATGCCTTTAAATAAAGGACATACTGGGAGCAATGCTGTCCTGGCCCCCCCGACTGTCTCTGCCTCCCTCATCATATCCTGAATTCTTCAATTCCTGATATCAGAAGTCAGTAAGATACTGACATCAAAATGCGTTCACAACAAGCTGCAGGGCACACTTAAGTCATCTAACTGTTCTTAAAGCCACCAAGCGCTACCAAGCCTAATCAGTTCAGAAAAACAAAATATTAAAGAAAAATCCTCAACAACTGTATCTTTCCTTTACATCCGCTGAGGATTTTTAAAAGGCTGACATCAGAATTAAGTATTTTGAGAATTCAGGATTAAACAACACAGGGGAAATCAGGGGGAACCATGCTCTGAACATCACTTTGACCACAGTGTCAAAGTTTTATTTTGGTAATAATTATTTTAAGGTTGCTAGACGCATCCAAGGGAGAATACTGATTTTCAAGGAAAATATTTTTAATGTATTTTGAATAATTTATTTCATATAAGGACTGCAAATTAAATCATCCAGAAGGTTTCCATTATAATCTCCCCTCCCTACCAATAAAAATACAGTGCCCCCAGTAGAGTCTAATCCACATGAGCCTTCCTGGGAGTAATAATTACTACACCCTGGAATGCTCTCAGGAAGAACAGCAAGCAGGCTGAGAAACATACTGTCACTGTTACCAAAACCTCCCTTTATTTTCAGTTTTATAAATTTAACAGAATAAAAGTAGGCTAACTTAACTCACATACAAAGACTGAGGCTGTTCAGCTTTACAAGAGGCCTTAAAACTTCAACAGAATGAACTCGAGAGCTGGCAACTTTCAAAGCTGAAGGAAAATTTGGATCTCGGTGCAATGTAATCTACCTCTGAGAATCTTTAGTGTCTAACTTCACCCATTAAAGAAATAGTCAGTATGACTGCCTCTAACACCACCACAGTAAATAAACTCACCACCTCCGACTGATTTTTAGCTTAATTATGGACAAACCACCACTCATGGCTATGATTTTTTGCTTTTCAGATAAAAATCTACAACACAAACAGCAGATTTTTGCACAGTTGCAGACCTTCTTACACAGCTGAAATCATATTCATAAGTGAAAACCATGAAAAGCTGCACACATTACCAATCAATGACAATTTTTCTTGTGGAAATGTATCTTCTTTTTATAATTCAATGCTAATCTACAAACTGAACCAAATGTGTACAAAAACAGAACAATGAATATCCACAGCAACCCTAACTTACTGTCGACGGGAAAGAGGGAAACAAGCAAACCTGTTGTGATCAGGACCCACTTGGGTGTACTTATATTCTCCTTGGATCTTTTCTTTTTGGAAATATTGGTTTAGACGAGCCTTAGCATTTTCCAAGGTCCAGTTCCCGTGAAGCCCAGCATTTAAATCCACTTCTTCTGATTCTAGAGTCTGTTGAATCAATGAAAATTAAATTTGCACTAATTTATGAATATTTACGGCACACAAATTTATAACAATACTTTTTAAACCATCCTTTAAAATGCAAAAGCTGCTTTTAATAGTTTCTAATCTTAATTGAAATTTGCCAAAATTAGTTTATATTGTATCTGATGGCCCTATTGCATAAATAAGCTATTAGTGAATGTACTGTATTTAAATTGTTCCTAAGAAACTTTTGACAAACTTTTTTGTGTGATTTTGCCACATTAACTATATGAAGTAGGAATTTTTACAATGAGTACTCATAAATGAGCTTTACTGAGATAACTATTTCTTACAAAGTAGATAAGATCTTTTATCACAACCAGGAAAAATAATGTTTTATGTCATAGACAATTCTAGTGCCCAGATTTAATGGGTAGTTTAGGATTATAACGTCATGTTGGAATAAGTTGTCTCAAATAACCACTTAAAAGAATCACTAAATTATTGAGTTGTGAGTATCTTAAACCTTGATGTGAGCTAAGTCCTAGATCACATTCCCGGAGATGTAACACACGGTGATGACAGCCTTACCGCCTGTACTTCCTGTTCTTCCTTTCTTGAGTAATAATCCTTCAAGTTGGCTCCTCGATCCCACGTAGGCCCAGAAGCACCATAGCCAGAGGCCCCAACTCCGCCATTATTTTCTATTAAGGAAAAGAAAGTCATTGCTCTCTTTATCAATCAAACTGTAGGAAGATCCTAAATATTTTAAAGAACATTTTCTTAATTTAGATTTTGGCACTCCATAATTAGAAATTCAGTGTTTCAATTTGGAAATGGGCCTGAACTCTCCATGTCTTACTTAAAAGTCTTGTGTAAAAGTCTGGAGTACAGGTCTAAACTGCTAATTCCAAGGCTGGTACGCAGAGGGAAGCTACCAGTAATGAAAGTAAGCGACTGACAATCCAGCATACAGTATCAATGTAGCTTTGTTTTTCAAGTTGTTACATATGTAATAACTGATTAAATGATAAAAGCTGTTTCTCTGCTAAATATAACCCTAGAAGAAAGCTACCTGCTAGTGCTTGTGATGAAAATAAGGAAAAGCTGAAAAGGTGTAAGAAAGTGATGAATCCTGATGAAAAAGCAGAGTAATTAAAGAGTTAATATCAAGTGATGATCAACTCTACTAAGTTTATTACATGCTTAAAAAAATGTACTCCTCACAACAATCTTAGGAAGTACTATTGTTATTCTCATTTCATAAATGCTTGATCTGAGACTTAAGTAGTTTGACCAAATATCCTAATATATCCTACAGTATATATAACAATAAAAATTTAGATAAATAGAATTCGACAATGGCTTGGATCCATAAGGTAAATAAACAAGTCTACAACATATTTGGTAGGAGTAAATCAGAACCAAGAAAGGGCAATAAATAAGACCGTTTAACCAAATGTTCTAGCCTGTGCAAAATCTATCCAGAGATGAGAAATTAGTAAAAGCTAATGACAACAAGGAATTAAGCTGCACCACACTTTATAACAGAAATTAAATGAGCTGGTGGTTTATCTGCAAATTATGAAGACACTGGGATTTCTCTCAACATTAAAAGTCTACTGAAGTTATTTCTCTTTATCCAGGTGAGAGAGATGATGACCAAGCAAGACAGCACAGAACTTATTCTCAGTCATGTGCACACTTTTCAAGTCCCTTACCTGTCTTGAGAGCCAGATGTGGAGGAAGAGGTCCTCCCATGGTGGTTGGTAAACCTTCACCAGTATTTCCTGTGGTGTCAGGTGAATCGGTAAGGTGGGGCAGAGGGGGTGCTACCTTCAAGTGAAAAAGTCAAGGCAGTTATCAGCAATTTCACCTTCACAGGAACGATTACATTTATAGTCAAAGGAGGCCCATGTGCTGCCCCTCATCTCCCCATGATAGTAACATCTTTGTTTTCAGTGATTATAAAACTATTAAGTTATCATTTCAGGCAGAAAAGCATAAAGGTTGTAAAAATTACTCATAATCCTACATCTGGAGATTGTACACACACACACACGTACACAAATATAATTTTTCCACAAAGAGTGGGATCAGTTTATGCTATATAGTTAATTCACTTTTTTCCACTTAATATCTTTATAAATACATTCAACATCAAGAAGTATATGTTAGGAGTCTTTTACATGGTAGACACTGTTCTGGGAACTGCAGATAAAACAACGAACACGAAGCGGACGTGCTCTGGACTTACAGAGCTATACCTAATTCTGTATTCTCACAGAGCTAGACAAGGAACACATATGTCAAGTGTGATACAATACTACAGAGAAAAATAAAGCAGAATAGAAAAATAAGGAGTGAGAGATTGCTATTTAAATAAAGTAAACAGGAAAAGCCACACTCATAAAGTGACATTTGAGAAGAGACATGAAACAAGTGAGGAGCCAACCAAGAGAGTATCTGGGAGAAGAGATTTCCAGAGAGGAAACAAAGTTCTAAGACAAAATGCAAAATATTTTATATACATTTCCTACTTCCTTAAATATTGATCTACATGAATTTTAATGACTTACTACTCTAACGTATTAGTGTACTATGCATAAAGTAGCAATGATGTGAAATGACTTCTGATAAAAATGAAAGTAAGTGCCAAAGCAGGCCTGCATGTATACATCAAGAAGACAAAAATCATGACTACAGAATATACATCTTGAACATGGACAATGAAGAAAATGAAATTGTTACAAGATTTTGCTTACTTTAGTCCAGTCATCAATTCAGATGAAGACTGAAGCCAAGAAATCAAGAGGAAGTTGAGACTCAGAAGAGAAGCAATGTAAGAATTAGGAAAGATCACCAAGAGCAAGAGTGTGTCACTAGAGACCAAGGTTAAGATCATTCACGCCCTTGTAATCCCAATTACTATGTACAAATGTGAAAGCTGGACAGTGAAGAAGGCTGACAAGAAAAAAATCGATTCATCTGAAAGGAAAAAAATTGATTCATTTGAAATACGGTGTTGGAGGAGAGCTCTATGGTACCCTGGACCACCAGGAAGATGAACAAGTGGGTCTTAGAGCAAATTAAGCCTGAAACATGGCTGGAGGCAAAAATGACAAAACTGGAGTGTCCTAACTTATGGCACATCATGTGAAAGCAGGGTCTTTGAAAAAGACAATAATGCTGGGAAAAATAGAAGGTAGCAGGAAAAGACCAAATACGAGATGGAGCAACTCCACAAAAGTCGCAGGCACCAGAAGCTGAGCAAGGGTTGTTGAGGACAGCACATCACATGGACATCACTCATTCATACAGAGTTGACAAGGAGTCAGCCAACTCAACAGCACATAGCACCTGTCTGTCTCTCTCTCCCTCTCTGACTCACACTCACACTCACATACACACACTCACTCACACTTTCTCTCTCTCCCTATACATTACTCAAGCAATATCGTGTTGATGGGTATTTAGAATGTAGCTGATCTTAAAAGAAATTAAAAAACAACATTGCCATAAATTCTTTGTACTTTGGCTTATTTTACAAAACAATTCATAAAAGCGAAATTCCTGGGTTAAAAGGTGCCAACATTTAAAACAGCATCATAATATCCCATAGAAAGGTTGCTGACTTCCATATCGCCCAGCACTATGAGAGTATCTATTTTCTAATTCTTTCTAGTTCTGAGAATTACAGAATGTGTTTTACATCCTTATTAACATTAGTTTTGGTTTTTATTATAGCAACCTATTACTTTAATTTACATTTTCTTTGCCCATTGTTCTATCTGGATATTCTGTTCTCATTAACTCCTGAGAATTTAACATCTCAGGTGCTATTCATTCTGTCATACAAGCTGTAAAAATTTTTGTCCTTTTCCTTTTAACTTTATTAATGCTGCTTATTGCCCAAAAGGTATTTTGTTAGTTTTGGTTCTCTAGTCAAATCTAGTTTCTGCTTTTTACATTCTCCATAAAATGGCCTTTTCGGTCCTGAAACTTATTCTGCATTTTCTAATATATTGTTTTTTGGTTTTTTTTTTCCATTTTGGAGCCAATTTAGTTACTGTAATTTGGAAATAATTAAAATTCTTTATTAACATGTAGTAGGACTAACACTTTTATTTTAAAACATCACAAATAGGTTTTATTTGTCACAGTGAAAAGTCTGAATTTTAAACAGATTCTTGGACTGGGGGCTCATATCCATCAGCTCATTCCACCTGTCTCATCCCCAGTAGCTCTTCAAGAACTGCCGCCTTCACCATGAAGCTCCATGAGTTCTCCTAGTTCAAACTTGGGCTTCTTCAGCAGTTTGACTTTTCTAACAAAGACATGATGGAGAGAATAAATTGATTGGTAAGGCTTTTCTATGTCTTTTCCAATGCTATCTGGAATCAGTGTACTGAACACTCCTTTCAAGTCATTTGTCTGCACCTCTCCGGTCATGATTTCCATCATCTTCTTCTGGATTTGGCAGAACTGCTGATGCCGAGCATAAGAGATCTTCCGAATCTGATTATTGCGTTTTTTAGTAAAACCAACACAGAACAGACAAAGCAAATAACCATCAGTAGTCTTGACATCAACACGAACTTCAATCATGGTCCGCCATTTTTAACCGTGGAGTGCATTTTGTCATGGGTAAGATCCATGCCATGGAAATTTGTCAGGCAGTTTTTGGCCTGATCATCCTCAGTAATCATTGATCATTTTCTAAATGCAACTTCATCATTCTGCAGCTCAGCGAGGGTTACTTCAAAAGCCAAGACCCTTGAGACGATCAGACGCGATTTTGGTTCCTTGAGTTCGCATGACTAGTATTTTCTTAATATTTCTGATATTGAACATAGCTGGTACTTTCACATCATACCAATCTTTCTTAGAAAACGGGTCAATCACTTTCTTCTTGGCTCCTTTTTTGCTGCCTTTTGTCAGGCGCTTGTTCTTGCTAACCAATCTTGCTGATACAATTTAGTCAGGAGAACTGACTTCTTCATAATGAACTGACATCTTACAACAATGCAACCTCCCATCCAGAAATACAGTATGGCTCTACATTTCACCAACTCTTTCATCTGTTGAGACAAATTCTCCATGGATATCTTGGGTTTCTTCAATTCGTGTTTAAACATCTTTTCAAGGATGTTTGAACAGCAAATACGTTGGAAGACAGAGATTATATCGCCCTCCAAGGTAGGAGGCAGATTTGTTTCCCAACAGATTTGGGGACAAGGGAGAAACCATGCAAACATGAAGCTTGTGCTGCCTGCTATCCCATGAGTAAGAACATCCTTTGTCCCTGACTCAGAAGTCTTGTGTCTTCTGTCAGCATCTATGAAATTGTAGCAGGCCGAATTGTTAAAATCTCGGACTCTTAAGAGTTCCTGACACTATCCTTCAGTAAAAATCTGCTGCATTGTTCTTATAGGTCCTGCAAACTACATATTAAGTTCTTTATAATTTTTACTGCTACAGTGAATAAGAAAATTTTCCAAATACATTCTTTATAATATAGCTCATTTCCCCCTCTTCCATTACAAATTCCTTTTATCTCTTTTTACTTACTGCATTACACTGAGTAATGGCGGTGATAGTTGACACTCTGGTCTTGTCAGAAATTCCCCTAGGTCAGTGCATCTCAAACTATCTGCCATGAAGAACTGGCTTTGAGTTTTTTTCACATAACCCACTGGGAACAATACTTTTGTAAAATATACCAAAAAATGAACTGCTAGAAATATGAAACAGACATACAAAATACAAGCCAAAGCTTTCTATTAGATTCAACAAATGCAAAATTGCTGTCACCACATTCTAGGTGATTCTAAATGATTACTCGTTTTTGTACTAACCTCCTCACAATCTATAACAAACACTTTGAGCAGTTCTGTTCTAGGACTCATTTTTAGTACAGTATTTACTATTATTTTCACATGATACCTTTCAGCATGTCAAAGAGTATTTTTCTACTCCATTTCCTAAGTACTTTGTTGGTAAGAAAGCATTTAATTTTATGAAATTAAAAAACCTTTAAGTTGACCAGTGAGTAGATATTTTTCTCTTATAAACTCATTAATGTAATATAGTAATAAAGTTTGATGTAGGGTTCTATCTCAGATATGCTAAAGGTGTCATATAAAGTATGGTAATGTGAATCATATTACTTTTCTAAAATACAAAAAATTCTGAATTCTCAAACCCATCTTAACCACATGAGTTTTTCATAAGACTGTGAATCAGCAGTATTAACTTTTCTTTAAAAAAAATTAGACCTAGAATAGACTATTTTATCTTTTACAAAGAGCATTTAAAATTTTTACTTACCACTTTTATTTTTTGTGCTCTCTAATTCAGCAATTTCTGATTTTTTATTAATTTCTCCCTGTTTTTTCTAAATTGCTGAGCTGAAAGTTATTAGTTCATGCATTTAAAAAAAAAAAACCTATTTCTTATGCAATAATAAAAGCACTTGACATTCCTCTGAATAAATGACTACTCCTCTGGCACTCCAGTTTTGATAGACACTGTTATCCAAACAGCCTGTAACTATTAATTTTTAATTTTCATTTAGAACCAAGAGTTCAAATTTCCAAATGTTTAGTACAATTTTTTGATCCCTTTGCAACTTTCTCACATTACCATTTTAGTTTTGCCAATATATACATCAGCATTTCTAATGCTAGCTGGATTGGGACTCTGTGAACTGATGGTTGTCTTTTCAGCTTTCTTCTTTAAAATTTATTCTGATATTGATATTGTTACCTCATTTTACTTTGTACTTCATTTGCCTGCTAAAGTTTTATTCATGTCTTTATTTTCAATCTTTCTGATGGAAAGATTTATTTTATACAGATAGCATATAACAGAAAGGTGCTGGAACTTCAAGAAGGCCAGCATAGCTAGAACAAAGTGAGAGAGAAAATAGGAAATGTATAGTCAGAGCATTTGATCTGTGCATCTTAAAATGCTAGTAACAGAAGACAATAGGGTATTGTTTCTGGTCTGGCCAAGTAAGCTCCTACAAAACGGACCCTCCTATAGATAACATGAACTCTAGAGAAAAAAATACCAAAGATCCCCACAACTTTATGTAGGCATTAAAAAGTGAATAAGAGCTAGCAGATTCTGGAGAGGATTTGAAATGAGAAAGCAAGAAACAGCAAAGATATAACTCTTGCTTATTATGGCTTTTAGCCCAAAGAAAGACCATGTGAGGCAGCTAAAACTCCAATTGAAAACTCAATCTTTCTGGTCTAAAGTATCAGAGGATAAGAGTTTGGGGACACCAAAGCTGCTAGAAAGTAAGGAGGAAATCCTGGAAAGTAAAGAGGGTGAAAACTCAAATTCGACCCAAATCTCTGGCTAACCTGCGAACTACACATACCCAGGATAGACTCCCAGCCACCTAGTAAAGAATCAGAAAACTGAAGTAAAATTTGACCTGTTATCTAAAACGTGTTTGCAGATTGAGTCCAACAAAATTAACTGCTTGACAACACAACAACTAAAGCAATACTCTTTGGAAGAACATTATTTAGTGTCTCTACAAGATAATGATCATAATGCTGAGAATATAATCCAAGTTACTTGACATAAAAAGAGGAAAAGGTGATCCAATCTCAAGAGAAAACACAATCAACACAGCCCAGCACTGCGATGTTAGAATAAGTAGTCGAGAAGCAGCTATTACAACTATGCTCAATGGGATAAAGGAAATTCACACTGACATTATGAACATATGCTTATAATGAATGGGAAGGTAAGAAAAAATGCCACAAGAGGGGGAAAAAGCTGAAAAGTGTAAAATGAAAAAAGATAGTATCTGAAATAAAAAATTCACTGGATGGACTTAAGAGCAAAATGGAGTTGGCAGAGAAAACAATCAGTGAATCTGAAGATAATCAATGGAAATCATCCAATCTGAGGAGCAGTGAGAAAGGAAAAAAGAAGACAGCCTCTGAGACCTTTGAGATAACACCAAAAGGTTTAACATACATGTTAACGTAGGAGTCCCAGAAAGAGAAGGGTAAAAAAAGGCAGAAGAAATAATAGCCAAAGTTTCCCAAATCTGGTGAAAGACATAAATTTACAGATTCAGAAACCTCAGCAAGCCCCAAGCAGAATAAGTATAAAGAAAACCACACCTACTCACATCATACTCGAACTATGGAAATGAAAAGTAAAGAAAAAAAAATAAAAGCAACCAAAGAAAACAATACATTACATATAGGGGGAAGTTATTTGATTGTAGTTTACTCTCCATCAGAAAACAATGGAAGAAGACAATGAAACATCATCTTTAAGTGCTTAAAGAAGGATACTGTCACTCCAGAATCCTATTACAGTGAAATATATTATTCAAGAAAGAAAGTAAAATAAAAACATTTTCTCATAAAAGGAAATTAAATAGAATTTGCATCTAGCAGACCAGATACTGCAAGACAAGAGAGAGGATGAAGCTAAAAGATAAAGAATAGGTCATAAAACGTGGAGCAAGCGCCAATGTTTTCAAATATTTGAAAGATATTTGCAAAACTGTTTTCATACCCAGAAACAATCATCAAGATCATCTTGTCCAATCCCTTCATTTTATAGATGGTTAAACCAATGTATTAAAAATCCTAGAATTATCTAGTGGTACAATATACTAGAAAATCTCTTGTCCTCTGGACCAGAGCAATGGAAGAAAATACACCATGTATTTTTACCTTCATAAGCAAGTCAGAATATAAAAACTCAGAAAAAATAAATTGTAAACATTGGTGTAGATATTATTCTTAAAGGTTCTATAAAACTGAATCTTTAAGTTACCTAAGGGATCTATTTAAATCATAACGTGAATCTTTTTGTCAATTATCCCTCTATTTTTGTGAAAATTCAAATTTTCATTTTTTAATTAAATGAGAAATAAAGTTTCTCTCTTAAAAACAGTACTAGAGAAAGGTCTTTGTTGTAAACTTACATAATATAATTAAAATAATCATGGTATCAAAACAAGAATATTTCACTTCATGAAATATTTTCTCTCTAGTATATAAGGAAGTAACAATGGAGCAAATACTGTGTCTTAAAATGTCACTATTTTTATAGTCTGTTTAAAATGTTATCTTTGGAAATACACAGAACAGGTTTTGAAAAATCAGTTTATGAATGAATGAAATACATAAAACCATACAGATTAAAGGAATTTTCTAAGCCCACAAGTCAGTTACATAATTAGAACAAAATCACATCTTCAGGAACTTATCCCAGTGCTCTGAGAAAGCACGATGTCAAGGTTCGCTAAGGAACACATTAATATATTTGAAAACAACATTGAAAAATTATCACCCTGAGTCTCTACACATATTAGGTTAGCATAAGCTTATACATTTCAAGTGCCTGGCCATAAGTGCTTACCCCAATAGCTGGGACTTCTTCACTCTTTACTTCATTTATTCGAACCAAATAGTTAACGAAATCTCTGGCAGCATTGCTCTGTGCATCTTTTTTATTGGTGGAATTGCCCATGCCAATGTAATTATATCCTTCCACTCGAACCTTTAACAGTCAAGAAAAAAATTTATTGAGATGGACCTGGGTAATTCTGAGACTTAAAAAAAAAAAAAATTATAATTCAGTATTCCACTAACAGATAACAGTTAATTGTTGGAGATAATACTCTATAAACACACTGAAAATAACACACATAAGAAAATTCATGGACTGTCTTAAGAAAAAGCGTGAATAATGTTGTCCAGTGATAAGCTAATCCCAAAACAAGAATATTAATTTATATGCTCAGACATTCTCTTCTCAGGTAACAGAATGTTCCACATTAAAATCTGATTTTATAACACCCAAGAACAAGTGCTCTATTCGTATTTATTTTAAGCACTTTGACTTAAAGCAATCAAGAAAAAACTTTTTACAGGACTTAGTAAAGTGCTAACAGCTGAACCAACTTTCCGATCTGCACTACTGGTACAGTGGAAGTTGAAAAAGATACAAGTTCCAACTAGAATAATTTACCTACTAGATTGTTTTACAGTAATGCTCACTTGAAAATGATTTATAATGACAGAATAGCAGGCAAGTCACAATAGAAAACATTATCAAATGTGTAACACATTAACATTTCCATAGAAAACATTAGTCTTTTAACACCGAAATAAGCCTCAAAACCACATAAATGTAAACGGTATTCTTTAGTACCTCACACATGAATTTCTGCCTGTTTTTGTTCCCCACTGCTCTAATCTCATAGGTTGGTGTCATCTTCCTTTTGCCACACCAGGCATACAGAAAATTTTTAACATCACCCATGATTCAAATGTTTTTTTCAGACCTAAGAAAACAAAAATTAAAAACAGCATTATTTACATGAGCAAACACTGGAAATTACCAAGTTGGAAATAATCAACTGGAATTTATTGAAAATCTAGGTTAAGTACAGGATATTTTATCAAACTGCTACTAAAATTGCCTATGAAGACATTTTTATGACATAAATGGAAAGTCTATGACATAAAAAAAGCAGGATACAAAGCTGTACGATTTTAATTACATAAAAAGTATATATGCATAAATCAAGACTGGAAAAGAAATACCCCCCAAAATGATTACCTTTGGGTGACTACTAATGACTTTTATCTTTTCTTAAAAAATCTTTATACAATGCCTCACTTTTTACAATAGGAACCTTGTGTGTTTTAACTCAGTTAATCCTCACAACAATAGTACATAACACTATATGGTAGATACTATTATCATCTTTTTACAGAGGAAGAAACTAGGGCATACAAAGTTCAAGTAACTTTTCCCAGTCACCCACTGTGGAGGCCTAAATTCAAACCCAACCTACTTACTATATTAAGAAATGATCATCCATCATACTGTGTACACATCCAATAGTTTATTTTCATTCCGATTATGTCTCCTAGCAGACTGTCCTCCAAGTTGTAGGCTATATACTTTATTACTAAGTCCAAATACATTAAGTATTCAATACCTGAACTGAAAACAGTAATCTGTTAACTTAAATACTGTGTACAAATCTCTCCCTTAGGCCTTGTTATTAAAATTTGAGAATATTGTTTTCTTAAAGTGCAATATACCATAATTGTTGGCACTCTCCCTCTACTCCCCAGTTTATAAGATACCAAAAGACATGAAACCTGAGTCTAAATTGTAAGTGAGATATGAGACCAAATTTACAACCAGAGAAAATATGCTAAGAATTTAGTTTGCTGTGAGAAGATACTCCATTACTAACATCAAACATTTTTGTTAATGTTTAGTGCATTTTGTTAGCACCTAAATCCAATGTCAAACTGGACCCTAATACAAACCTGTTTATTCTGTAGTCACAGACTAACCCTATTAATGGGACACTAACCCTATTAATGGGAGATTCTATTACTGGAACAGCTGTGGAAAGCTGAAGACATCTAACTATAAATTCCACCCCTGAATAATTTAAAAAAACAAGCCCTCAGGGTGAATGAGTAACATAAAATATGAAGGACTACACTATCAAATTTCCTCCTCCCTAGGAATGTAGTCTCATCTAACTCCATAATATTCAATATCAACAATACACTAATGATGCCCAATGTATATTGAAAATTTAGTCCTTCCTCTTTAAGCTCCTAAATCAAGTTTATCCAATTACAGCACTAATGTAGTCATTTGAATGCTAACTTGGCATCTCAGTTAAAACAGAATTTAAAATTTCCTTCCCAAACTTGTCCCCTGCCCCCCAATCCCAGTGGCCCCATCTCCTAAAATGGCACCACCATCCACCATGTCATAATCTGGGAGTCACCCACTCCCTCAAGATCCTCCATAGCTAACTATGTAGAGCCTTTACTATGTGCCAGACAGTATCCTTAAAGGATCATCGACATGACCTATTTCACTTAACCCTTACAATAACTATATGGATAAAGCATTATTATTGCCATCTCTTTTTACAGGCAAGTAAACTGTGACAATAATGTGCCCTAGGAAGACAGAGCCCCTGAGGGACCCAGAATCACAAGCCAGATACAAGTCTGACTCCTAATCCACTAGCACGTCTCCTATCCTCCAAAGCACGTCTCCTATCCAGTCTGTTTCCCTCCAGCTCCCCTGCCACCAGGACTGCACACCCGGAGTACTGCAATGTCGTCCTCAATCATTCCCCCGTTGCCACTCTGGCCACCCTAAAACCCATCCTTCCCTTAAATCCTCACCACACTCCAGTCACATGTCCTTTCAGTCTCTTCCCAAGCTCTGCTTAAACGCTAATCCCTTCCACCTCTGCAGTTCTGCTTTCCCTCCGCGTCTTCAGTTGACCCGCACCCATCGGCTCAAAGGCCCACCTCCTCCGAAACGCCTTCCCCTTTCCACCCTCTCTAGAGTAGCTCTCTTTCTTTACACTCGTTTATTTCTCATTATCTTTTCCTGAAAATCCTCAGACTTTTCTTTTCCTATAGTCCCGACCCCCACCACGGCCGCAACCACTGGGAGGGAGGGGCAAGGACTGTGCTTCATATTTGCTTACAGCTCCATTCACAGAGCCTGCAGGACAGCGCCCAGTATTTGCGGCAGGCATGCATGCATGCATGCACGCATGCACGCATGGATGCATGGATGGATGGATGGATGGATGGATGGATGGATGGATGGATGGCGGGCCCTAGGCGCGTGTGGCGCCTCGGCGGGCTCACCCCCAGGCGATTCACCCCCTTTCACTGAGCAGCCACAGCGCCACCACTGCACGCAGGCCGGAGGAGGTAGAGGGGGTTGGCTGCTTCCAAGACAGGGCTGGAAATTGCTAGGCGAAGTGTTGGGGCCCCGGGCAGCGCAAGCGCGGTGCGCCAAACGGCACGCACCCCGCAATCCGGGCACCCGGCGCGGCGGCTCGACCCTTCCCCCACCCGCCACCGCCGCCCGCGCTTCGCGACAAAGCCGGCTGCAGAGCCGCGGGGCCCCACGCCGTCCCAACGGGCAGCAAGGAAGTCTTTCCCCTACCGGCCTCCGCTGCCTGGTGCCCGGGAGCGCAGCCCTCTTAGGACCGTCCGTGACTCCGGCCTTCCTCGGGGACGCCCGGCAAGCGCACCGCAACTTGCATCGAAGCGGCCGCGGCGAAATGGCTCCGGCGGCGGCGGCGCCAGGGGGCGGGGTCAGTGCGCGTACGCAGGCGCAGAAAGCGAGCTTGGGGCCCAGGGCACCCGGAGGAAGGGCGGGGCCGCCGCTACCGCGCGGCGCGGAGTATCCCGTCGCCTGGGAGATCCGGAACGCCTCGCCCCTGGCTCCTCCGCCTGATGCTTCCTGTAGTACGCTGGCTGCTTTTGAACATTTTTGGGGAGTTGGGGTCCTGTACCGTTTTGATGCCGCATAATGTTTCGCAGCTTTTGTCTGGTAGTAAGGGACTTCTAGTAGATGAGGTGCCCTTAGAAGACAGTACTGAAAATCTTAGGTCTTAACTTTATAACGTTGTTGTGATGATTAAATGAGATAGTATATGAAGGGTGCTTAGTTCAATACTTGGCATGAAATAGGTGCTCAATAAGTGGTGTAGTGCTTCAGATACTCTAACGCAAACGTCTCCTAATAAGCTCAGCGAAGGCAGGAACCCTGCCTGGCTAGCTCAGGCCACTCACCGCAGTGCTTGGCACATTATTAAGTGCTCTGTAAAACTAGTTTGGTTAGTAACTGCAATGTCGTTGTGGCTTAAATTGAAAACCTTTGTCTTCACTCTTTGGAATAGCTTGTATCCTTAACTACTGTAGTAATCACTGTTAAACTTGAACTCTAGTGCTTCTCATGAAGGCAACAATACAAAATATTTCAAGTTGGGGTTGTTCCAGAAAATCCAGACTAATCGTTACATGGGCCCATATACCTATCCATCCTCATTTTTCACCTCTTTTATTACATTTTTTCTTAACTCTTTTAGCTCATAGTGATCAATCAATCTCTTTAAAAGTCTGGTGCTCCTACAATCAATAAATAACAGTTTAGCATTTACTCATTCTTTTGTTTTCTCTCTTTAATGAAGAGTAAAATCATTCAGGGAAAGACGTTAATTTTTTTTTTTGTACCTTTCAGGGTAAAGTACCTGACAATTACAATAAGGGAAACTCAACTAGCATAAATGGATTGCAAGAATTTTGAAGTAGATAAGGAACACAGCGAAAGTGTCAACATAGGAAGTATGAACAAAAATTTCAGAGTTGGATCTTTAGCACCAAGGATTATGGGGAATTTTATTGTTGAGTTGGTTCTTAGTCCTTGCACCTGAGACCTAGAGTCTCCAGGGGATTGGGTGCCATGACTGGCATTATCTTTGTAGGTTGCCTTTGGCAACTAGCACCCTCCAAGATCTTCCTTAACATCTGCAGCTGAAGCTTCAAAACATGCCCCCTTTTCTCATCTATGACTCTTTGACCTGCTGTTTCTCTAAAATCACTTAGCAGAAGGCTTTCTCTCATTGTGCTATTCACTGTTCCAAATAGTCACACATGGGTCGTTCAAGAGCACGCAGATATTTTTCATTCCCCATCCCCTACTGTTAGCTGGTAGCACCGAAGTTCCCAACCTATAAAAAATGTGAGACTGGCACTATAGTCTGGTAGTAAGTACAAATTTCCATTTCAGTTCTTGCCTTGGGTTTACTATCATTTTCAACTTTATTTTGCCAGCTATTAGTTTAAAAGTTTAGCAGTGATGTAATATTTCTCTGTTGTACAAAGAACATATATGAATGCCTTGGATAGCTACAAAAATAACTAACACATCACTGTACTTAGGATATGCCAACCACTCTTCTAAGAATTGCATATGTATTACTTCATGTAATCCTGAGCTGCGATGATCAGTATGTCCTAGAACATTTCACTATGCTTATAATGTGCCAGGTACTATTCTATTCATTCTTTTTAAAAGCAAGATGGCACTGGAGGTCATTCACTTGCTTTATTTTTCTGAATCCACTGTACCAGTTTCTACTGAATCATTTATCTGCAAGCTCCATGGCTACTTTACTCAAGTTCATCAGACTTCACAACTTGCTTTGTTCCACTTTTACTTTTATATTTGTTTTCTCTGCCTTCATCCTATAGAAATTAGTTAAACTTCAGTTTACAGTTTGACTTGCTTCTTACTTGTGTATTCATTGAAAAACCATATTCACATTTGCTTTTATGGTTCCCATATTAAGATATGGGGCGTTATTTCTTCATTTATTTGTATATTTGAGCATTTTGTTGCCTGCTTTATACCAGCTTTCACTGACACTAATAAATTTCTTAAGGTTATAGGATTTTACTTTTTTTTCAGTGTTAATTAAATAGTTTCACATACCCAGAATTTGCAATCTCTGGATGCTTGTATAGAATGTATTGTATTTGCATGAACAAAATACTATTTCCCTTTTAATAAAGGTAAATGGGATATACTCACCTATTAAGAGTAAATGACTCCCAGATTGGAACACATAGCAAAATACAAATTTGCTGTATTTAAGAGAGACATCTAAAGTGAAAGATTCCAAAAGCTTGACAAAAAATGGAGGTGACCTAAATAAGCCTACCACCGAAAAATAACAAAAAATGTTGAGTACAAAAAAAAAAGCATTGCTGTGCTGCCAAGAAAAAAAAATGCTATAAAAATAAACAAAAATGAAGTGAAGAAATGAATCCAAAGAGGCAACGGAACCTTGATTTACGCACCCACCCTGACAGAGCCCCTGCTGATCTCTGATGAACTTGAACTTCCTTTTACTGAAAGCTGCAGGGGGCTTTAGGAGAAAAGACACAAAGCCTAGTGCTGCCCAACCGTACAGAGGCTGAGAAGACCAACACGTAAAGCCACAATCTTTAACACCTTCAGAAAAATGAACAACAATAGCAACAATAAAATAAAAACTAAAAACCAAAATGAAAACAACAATGAAACAAACCCAAAAGAGGAGCATATTAAAGGAACCTGTCTGTTACAAACTAGATGTCGGGGAGAGGGAGGAAAAGAGACTACAGTACGTGGTGAATGAAATATTTCACATCATCGGTTTTAACATTAAAAACTAAATTCAAAGATAACAGTAAGTTCATAATATTCCAAAATTTTACTTTTCATTAAAGGCATTATTAATAAACTACTGCTATATAATATTCATTTCTAAAGAGATAGATATTAAAATATATATAGCTAAATGACCAGCCCTGGTCATTTTTTTTTTCCTGGTCATTTTGTTTCAATCATATTTCTCTTTGTGTTCATAAGATCTCATTAATCGTTTTAAAAGTTCTCCAAGTGCTGATTTTAGAAGCTCAAAAACAGAGTTCTTTGTTTACTAGACACCCAAGATTTATCTTCACTGAAAATTAATTTGGCTTTAGTATCAGTAAGTAAGGTTATGTCATCCTCAGAACCAAAGACTAACAAAAACCTCATTTTTCTATAAAGAAAAAGCTCCAATGACATAGAATATAAGCTCCCATTAACCACTGTAGTTCAGTTCTTATTTGGATACCTTACTCCTGAAGGAGAAAACACTGCATGTCATTCCCAGGCAAAAAGAGGACTGAGGAGACATAAATAGAGCAACTCTTAACTGTCTGATCAATTAAAGAGAGGGTTAGCAAAGGTAACTGAATCCACTGATAATTTCAAATTCTCATCCTGAGAAGTTTTCTTCGTAATTTTAAAAGATAAATAAAGAGTAGAATTCACACGAATTTCAAGTACTTCTCTGCTGATAAACAGACTAATTAAAGAAACAAAAACAACATCTTAAGTAATTATTAATAGACAGCAGTCAAGGTTAAAATCACTAGGGGCTGACTGTCAATACACTTTGTCACTAGAATGCAAACACCAAAGCCTGATAGAGATGAAACAGCCAGTGATACATTACAGAGAAAGAAGAGTAAAGAGTGTGTGTAAGGAAAGGTAAAGCGCAATCTTTGGGTCCTCTCCAAATCTGTCCCTGAAGGAAAGTGACAGAAATAACGGCAGCCCCTGGGCTCACTCTGGAAGGGACGGTGGCCTTCACTTCCCATAATTCAGGGTGCTGTGGGGAACACACTTTCTTCCAGTGTGGAAAAGCAAAGTCTATGGTCCCAGAGAAGAGCTCTTTGGTTCTTTGAAACGTTGAGCTTTAAGAAGGTCTCATATAGTAACAGGGGGAGACTTGAATTCTTTTTGGAAGCGCTTTTCCTTTGTTAATATGAAAACCACCCTAATGGGCCCTTTCGTTATAGGAACTGAAGCAAGTCTTCACCTAAACCAATGTTTTGGGGGAAGGCTGTGATGTCACAATCTGACAGAGGGTGTTCTAGGGTTCACCGAGCTGCCAAGTGAGCTGCTGTGTTAATAGCTGGGTATAGTTGAGTCACGGTGTAATTTGGCGTTAAAGTTAGCATGCCTGCCTAAATAGCTCAGAGTCGTCCTAGATTCCAAATGAATATTTATTAAAATTCAAGTACATTATAGTGGTTTAAAATTAGAAAACTGTAAAATAGGATTAACAACCAGAAATCAAGATAACGGGGGCCCCCAAAGGCAGATAGAATTAATCAATTTCCATTTCCCTCTTGATTCCAGTTCATTCATTTCAGCAGAAATTTCTTCACAAAGATTTTGTGAAATATTGACTGATTTAAGGCTAATGATTCTTTTTAGAGTTTTTGCCCCTTTATAAGATTAAAACATTTTTAGGTAGTAGGTACTTAAATACTTGTTGATTGATGTGAGATTTCATTTGCTAGGAAAGAGTTTAATTCAAGTTCATCTAAAAAGTCCTTGAGAGATAAGTGCACCATTCAAGGGGATTACATCTCAGTGTACACACCCTGATTTGATAGAGAGGCATTAGCTACAGACTTCCAAGTTTCCGTCCTTTTAATCGGTGCAAGAAAGGAAATCCAGGCTCTTCAGTTTAGCTTTTGCATTGTCAGTAAACTCCCTGGAGGCCTTCTGCAGTGGAAGCCGGGGTGGGCCCATTGGAATCCCAGACACCAGAGTCATGATGGCTTTAGTCTGCGACACTCCAAAACCTAGACAGGAAAAATAAATGAGGAGATGTGCCTGGGACTGTCCACTCTGCCACAAACATTCCAAAGAGGAGATTTTACAGTGACTACTATGATAGCGTCAGGTGGAATAAAAGATGGGAATGTTTCTAGTCAATAAGGTAGATGCAGAGACATAGAGAATCCCTCTTCCTGCTGGAAATGCTAGAAAATTTTTAACAAATTGACAACCTGTAAAACGAAACACAGTAAGACTCAAAGTCAACTCAAAAGTAAGAGGGAGGGACCAAAGGCATCAGGAATAAAGAGGTGAGAGTGACAAAGAGGAGCTGAGGCCAAATGATCCATGAGGATAACTTGATTCAAGGATATACTGTTGATCAAATGACTAGGACTTATATCATCTCTAGGACAGGATTTAGTTCAAGCTCTTCAAAGAAGTCCCTGAGAAATACACCATTTGAGGTACTTTATGACTCAGTGCTGTTGTTCTGGGACTGGTT